CCGAACGCACGAGTCCCCAAAGGACTTTGCATGAGATGAGTAACACCCATCCTAGGAGGTTAAGGTCGGCGCTATCTCGTCTAGAAGGATCGTTGATTGAACATTTTCCTTCGAAGCACGAAAATGCCTAATTGTGCCTTTTGTTAATTATGAAAATCCAAGAATTGGCTCGGAATGAACGAAATGATCAATGATACAGGTTATATACCGTTATGAGCGGACGTACATTTTGCAATTAGAGGTGAAGCAATCAGTCAGATGTTTCCATGAAATGTAAGTGCCATGTTTTCAGAAGCTCAAGTGCCTTTTCACTCAGCTGGAAAATAATGCAAATACGCTGTATCATATTCAATTCAGGAAGCGAGCGGCGCCAAGGCGTCATTACAACTTTAATTAGTTTTCCTGTTTCCTCAAACTCTTGCTTAGAGTTTTTCTTTCATGCTTACCATCTAGATCTCGCATGATTGCGATTTTAGATTTTTTAAAAGAATTTCAAGTCGTTTTCTGAGTATTCTTTTACATCTCATTTTAAAACTTCACTGTCGTCGATTTTTTTTTAAACTCGATTTTAGTCCAAATACGTTATTCATAAACCCCCAAAAGGCTCGACCTAACTTTGGACGTAGTTTGGCTTCTTTCTGGCAAGCTTTCAACGTTGGAAATATATCGATTGCACGCATTTTGAAATGAATGTTTCATGAGCTCCGATCTCTGAGTTGCTATCACAGCTAGCGCTGAGAGAGACTGTAAAGCATGAACGGATTCTTTGATTGCAAGCAGCCCGTGTGTAATGATGCAGTTCAGGGTAACCCATGGTAGGTGGATATATTCTTGGTATACCCATTTGGGCCCTATAGTCCAGCCAGCCACACCGATAGGAAGAAACAACGCAGGATTGTGCACATCAGTTCCGCTCACCCACGACAATCTGCGTCTTGGAGAGAGAGAAAAAAAGGAAAATATCAGAGAGGTAGAGAAACTCGACACCAATGAAAACACCGGGAGGAGGCTGGGTAATCTCCGCCTCGTCCTTCCGTCGAATAATAGGAAAACTCCAAACGGGCCCGGCAGGTGGAACACGCACCTTTCAGGCGGGTTTCTTTTTATTGGAGGGAAAAGTGGATCGGATGACCACGCCGAAGGGCGGGGAATGAGACCGAGGTATGGCGCGCGTGTGGCAGGTTATTCCAGCGCTTCCCTGATCGGACCACATCGGGTTGTTTTCGCCGTAAAGGTCCCTCGAGTGATATCAGGTGTCCTGCCGACGTATTGGTAAAAATGACACCTGAATTAGTATGCATAATATGTCAGTGCCTGTCCTCATCTTGAGGCCTCTTGATTGATGTTTACCGACTGTCACCCTGTCTGCAGTTCATCATCCTTCGAGTGCGGACTAAAGCTTTGAAATAACATCATTGAGCAAGTTATTGGTTTACTTTCCTGTCGTTGAAAACACTTTATTCGACAAATACAAGCCCAAGTTTAGGCTAAAGACACAGGAGCAAGTACTGTTTGTACCAAATAATTTGGAATTCATTTAAAAACGATGGCTGTTTTTTATAGAGATGCCCCTGTCAAACTTGGAGAAGACACCCATTCGAGGGATAAGTTCGAGCAACTGCCACTTGTTAATCACTCCTCGACAATGCCTGGTACTCACGATACATTTTGTGCACAGTTTACCAAGGAAACTGGACCAGCGGTTGACAAAATGGAGATCACTCAAATTTACCCGTTGGTGTTATACCAACACCACGGAAATCTTGTGTTTCACCCATTAAAGACAAAATTCCAAGGTTAATAACTTCAGCGTTTTAATTTCGAAGTAGCCTTTGTGTCTGTTGGGCGATTTTGTTGTCTCCCTGTGGGGTGCTGAAGCAAGTTTTTACAGGGAAAGCAAACACAACGGACTTTCTTGCAATAACTCTAACACCTTCTGTAAATCATTCGTTCAGTACTGAACGAAGCTCTTAAATAATTTTCCACAATCCCTCACGAAATTGGTAAGTCAAGGATGATGCATAAATCTGATTTAATTTCGTATCAGAAATAATGCCACATTATGCATGTTGGATCCGTGCACGGACTTGACATGACAGATTGCCATAAGTCACCTCTGATCCGAAAAAACTGGCGCGAATCCCCTGTGTTTATTGGTAAAACCCGGAACCCGCAGTGCATTAGAGTGTCGTGAGGACTGTTTGCATCCGTCCGGGACATCAGGCGGAGAGAGGAAGTCGTGTTTGACATTGGATCAGCTTCGGGATTTAATGGGTCGGCATTAACCGTCCCGGACTGCCATTATGGAACCTAATTTGGACTCCTGGGTAATGGAGGAAACCTTTTAACCCATTACACGTGTTTCCCACAGGTGATATTTGACTGCTATATCCAGGAATCGCCACAAAGGTGTGGAATTGTCTTTGTCTTCACCAGTAGGATTGCTTGGTCCGTAAAGTTTTGTGTCTCAACTACAGCTAAACTAGCCATTATCTTATGTAGTGTCAATTTGCTTGATACAAAGAGGAGAGTGGAACAATAACTACACAGGGATTGCAAGAATCGGTTGGGGACAGGGTTTATGGTCGGGCCGCTAGGCGCCCCCTGCAGTAACTGCAATATCCCTGTCTCCTCAAACGATGTGCGCGTGCCTTCGTTTGCCAAATTTCTGCCCATGCGCGTTTGCGATGAAGCCGTTCGATTCTCATACCGTCATGGCGCATGAGTGAAGCGTGCAGTTCGATAGCTCTCGAGACGGAAATCGCCAGTTCCAGAATTTATCACAGCTCCACCGCACGCACCGCGTGAGATTTCCAACATAGAGCAAAGTTTCACATACAAAAACTCCGCGAAGATGCAAAAAAGGCATAGGCCGAGGTCCAAAACGTACACACCATGTTGAAATTCATCTCGCTTGAGCGATACCGATCAAGGAGCCGCATTGATCGGATGTTCATGTTATTTCATCTCAGTGTGTTCAACCAAGCAGAAGTTCTTCTCCTTCCACAGCCGGCATTAACCCCCGGGTGGTTCTGGAGGGATTCTTTAGTCAGATCGCATTCACTGCCAAGGGAACACACGGTCGGAAACTGTCAGCACACGCCATCGATTTTTAGTCCGTGCGGCACCTGCTCCGATCGCTGCTGCCCTTGCAACCAAATCCACTGCAATCCATTACCTTGTCGGGTGTTCCTGTACTTTTTCCCTGCAAAATTAAATGGATGAACTTTAGAAATGGATGAAATTTGCTTTGGAGTCATTTATTTTTAATTTACTGATTCAGAGTATATTGTGTAATGTCTTAGGTCTGATGAGCTGAAACCGTCTTGCTGGTCTAGAAGCCTCCGGACAAGCATTGGACTTCGATTTGCGAGCTAGTTTTAATAACTGTTTGTGATTCATGAAAAGTCACTCCACGCGTTGTCTCTGAAGCGACAAGATGCGCAGACAAGGAAAAGTATGGCGTATATACAAGCTTGACATTTTACGGCCTGTTTCAGGATATGCATATTTACGCTTGGTGTCAACCAATGATGCCATTGACGCATCCATTATACCAAGAAATTTGTCTGCCAGTCCCCTGTGATTACCAGCGTCTTATAAAAAGTGAAAAGGTAAAGATCAGAAGCTGAGCATCCTCAAGACTCTAAATTCCGATTACTAATTCCAAATATGATTCAGCGATTTTCTGGCACGGTATTGACCCCGAGCTGGACTACGAGAGAACGCGATTTTCCTAGCGACGGAGGCCTCTTTGGGAGGACGTTCACTTCGCTGGTTCACAACGACTTTGAAATGCGTGCGTTACGGTCACGTCGCTACCAACAAAACGAACACTCCCGACCAACATCGGTCTTTTCAACCGATGAGGGGGTTCTTATGCTCTAGGCGGATAACAAAGCTCCCGAGGCTCATGAAATGCCATTGCAATTGCAAGTACATGTATAAAAAAAATTATGTTCGATCGCCAAGTATTTGAAAGACAAAATACTTTATAAAACTTGCACGACCCATGCTGCCATAGCTGAGCGAAACTGAACCACAGTGGGGTTACTTTCGCAAACCACTATGCTTAATCAAAATGCCTACTGGTCGGAACGTTAAGCATTCCATCCTCATATTGCCAAAGCATTCCAGCCTGTCTCATTCCTCTCACCCATGATGCTGAGGACAATCCTTCCCTTAATCTCAGTCATCTTGACCGTGGTCAAGATCCTTCACAAGATATCCGCGTGCGCACCGATGGACGCCCCTCCGCTGGCAACCAATCTCCCCGCCCCTTATCATTTTTGCAGGATAGCTCGCTCTGATCTGCAAATTATTATGAAAACGGCACCTTGGCATTCCGCGGAGAATTTCAGCCGGTAACCGTATACCTGAGGTAGCTTTGCTGATTAGGATTAACGGGGTTATTGGTGCTGAGTATCGACGGAGGCTTTGGCGAAAACTTGACGCTGGATCACAGTGAGATGTATCCAAACGTATACAAGCGTGGGCGGCGAATTCATCAATTTTCTTGTTTAACAGCAATCGACTGGGCAGCGGTGCAGTGTGAAGGTCCTTGGAAGATGTTCAACTGTACTGAAAAAAAAAATAAAATCAAGATCGATAACCATTATACATTGGTAAAGTCACTTGTACTTTAAGAACACGATGATGGATTCTGCTGTCGCCGGAAGCTATATCTAAGATTTTTTTCTAAAAAGGATGACACTTATGTTGCATGTAATGTGATAACTTGGAAGGCTACTCATATAATAGAGTGTGAAAGTGCCCGTGGGTACATACGGGGATTCTTCTGCTACTCAATTACTCCTGTAAGCAAGATACATGTACTTGGAAGTAATGCCCTCTTTCCGGACAGGATCCCGTGACTGGCTGCTATGGAACGAGTGGTTCTGTTATTTTGGTCTGGGGTAAGCTTAAGTTGGATGATATGACTGGGTAGTTCTTTTCAGGATTTTCCTTGCTTAACTTTGTGTCACTTTTTGATTCTGCAGTTTAGAGAAGAAGTGGCCGCTTCATGTGGCTCTCCGACCAACCGGACAATGGTCATCATCGCGGATGGCATCAACGGCAAGAGCTGCAACCTCTTTGGCGTCAGTGATGAGTTTGTTGTGGAGTCCTGCAAATCCTTCGGTGCTGCCTGCTCGCTGGAGAGGAAGGACCAACCACAGGTATACCTATAGAAGCCATTGTGTTAGAGGAGACCGTGTCGCTCAGGGCGATGCAACTGTCGCACGATAGTGCATGCGATGCGGTTTGGCGTCAAACAGAGGGAGCTGATTCTATTCGATGTGAAATTTGGCATTGTTTTTTGATGCATCGCTCACAGTTGTGACACTTTAATGGTCAGAAAAGAGCAAGTCAGAAATCATCAACCATGAACAGTTGCGGAGTAAATCTTTCTGTCGGTTTGTTAATACTGGAATTCAACTATAGCTGCATGACCAAATAGAATGCTAAGCATGTTATATCCTTAGCAAAAGTCAACTCAGACCACATTACGGAGATGTAAGTGGTTCTTGCTTTTTTGTAATTGTTTATTTATCTTCACAATTGGCTTGCTGTGAACCAGTTCAGGCTGGACCTTATTCGTTTAGGCAACAAACACGTATGCACCCAAACAAATGTGAAAAAAACACAGGCATGTGCAGGGGCCAATGGAGTAATTAGTGTTCGCTTGATCAATAGGTGCCATCCCCAGAAGTTCAAGTGAACAAACTCAAATTGGACCTGTCTGGTTTCGGCAACGAGTACCGCTTCCCTGACCTGAGCCGAGCGGCCTTCTACCTGAAGATCTTCGGCACCTTTCGTCACCGGTACATCAGCCTCGTCTGCCATAAATGCGATATACATTTAATCAGACAGCTCAGAATAACGCCAGATCCCATGGTAGGTATCCATAAAGACCAGTCTTGGCGTTAATTATGCCGTTAGAATTCAAAACACGCCCAACAGGCTTGCTATTGTACTACGATAGCAAGCCTGTTGGGCGTGTATCTTGAAAGTTGAGACCTATGGGCTATCGTCAAAAGTTTGAGCCACTTTTCTCCTACTGAGCAGACTCGAAATATCATCAGGAACTGTTGAGTTGCACCCTACGTGTGGTTAATCTCCAACGTACTCCGGATATTCACCATGGTGAATTTATCCAGAGTGAGAATTCAATTTCCAGTACTTGTCTTTGTGGCTTTCCAAAAAACCCGGAACATATCGCAGGTGTGCTTTAAGTGCTTTCATGCAGACTCCTGAGCTTCGACGAGAAACAAACTACAAGCCGTCAATCATTAAGCGACCGTAAGGGAGGAAACTTAAGTTATACCTCTTAGTCCGGACGTAGCTCATGCTTCGAGAAGCTTCATTGCTTTTAGCTGGAAACATTCATGTTGAATACATCCGCGGCACTTAGTGAGCGCCACTCGGTAATTGATCAAGTATTAACCAAAACCTCTTCTTGGCAAGCCACAGTCATTAATCCTGGCGCATCGGGAGCTGACGGCTAGGAAACGAATTAATCGCAGCTCTGCATGTAGGGACGTGTTGAACACTGCAGTTCACCGGAGAAACGCCAGATCGATTTTTCCCAAGAAAAATGAGTTTTAGTGTAGATGTGTTTCGTATTATGGTGTTGATCAATGTTTCACTTATATCTACCTCTGAGAATTTGGGACAAAAAGAAGTAATTCGACAAAGCAATTTAACGTCACTTCATAACATATAAGAAGACGTTTCAAGCTCTTTCCTAATTTCCCATCTTAATTGCGTTGTGTTACGTAATGAAACATTATTATTTTGTTTCCAAAGTACTCACAATGAAAGCAGTAAATTCTCGGGTCTTGAAAGAGCCTAATGCACTAGCTGGTGAAGAGCATCAGTTTTGATTGAACAATGAATTGTTTTTAATGACCAAGCCATAGCTGCGTCTAAATGTTTTGGTTTCGGCTGTAAGCACCACGTGCTGCAATGGAAATATAACCGGCTAGCGGTAAAGCCACTATACAATATTAAAGCATGTATTGCTCAAAGTGCAGCCAGTAGATTTGGACACGGTCCTCCTGCGTTAAAGGCCCATGTCACTTCATGGTCCAGGATTGTAATACAAAAATAATGAAGAGTGGGGTCTTGTTCCTTGACAACTTCTTGATAAACGCGAGCTACTTGTTGGATCACCTCACGTTCGGGAGTGGTATTGATCCTTCTTGTAATTATCGGTTTCTCGAGTCCCGAAATGCACTCGCTCGTCGAGTGACATCATTTGTATTCATGGTGGGAGAGGAGGTGTGTTTGGCTGTCTCGATATCGCATCCGGAAAGCGACAGACAAATGATTGATAACTATCAGCTCGCTCCAAAGATCTGATGGAATCGTCCAGCTGACTTGACCATCATCGGGGTCAGAGTGAGACCTGGATGAGTATAAACGCTTCTCTAATCTCTGAGGTCAGTCCGCTAATGTCCGTCACATCGCTGTGGCTTCCTCCGTTAAGGGGTTGCCGCGCGCTCCTCCAACCCCGCAGCATCACCTGCAGAAGTGAAAGATGATCATCCCGATAAAAAGCCACAGATGGGCGAGGTGAATTCTCTGACTAAAATGGCCCTGGGATATTGAGGAAAGAATATGTTAGAGAAGAGACGTTTGGATGATGCTGATGGTAATCTTGAAATCTTGTCCGGGGCTCTTCAGGGAGCGAGGACCTATACCAGGCCTCTAACAAGTTGGCAGGTTTGAAAACCCTGTCCCTCCGTGTTTCTGTTTTTCAGGTTTTCCTTCTTTAGAATAAATTTGAATGCACGAAACGCGATCAAATCTTACAGATGTCAGCGTAGCTGTTTTCATTAAAATATAGAGGGATGAAATATACATGTGACATCCGGGCATCAATGCCACTTAAAGAAATACACATATATTTAAGTCTAATTCAATTTTAAGTTGACTGTTTGCGATAATTATTATGCTCAAGTTTGGAGCAACAAATTAGCCAAGAAATGGCCGGGGATGCTAAGATGACGATATGTCATCCCGTTGGATAATTCTCAAGACAGAGATGAAGATGGCGGAGGTCAATCGTTCTGATGTTCTCCACCATAAGGACGTCGAGATCTCCCCTCGAAATTAAAGATCATGGGGAGTTGTTTGTCTTGTCGGCTGTTCATCCGAGGGTATAAAGCAATAACTTATTGGAGAGCATGTCCAAAGGCCCGTCAGCTCACATCATCTCATCTCTGGCTAGTTAACAGGTGGGTGGTAACAGCAGACTGGGCCCATGGCGCGTGGCTATCCTACGGAAATTGAGGCTTACCCTCAGTCCGTCTGAACCATTGAAGTGCCCGACCATGGTTGACGTTGTCTTCTTGACAGTTTTGTTTTTCTGTCTCCCGATCCAACATCATGCAGTCAGGCATTCATCATAAGACTTGATTATGGAACGAGGGAGGTGTAGGCTGTTTATTTGCCCGCAAACTAAAAGCAGGCAGCGGAGTAGTCCACGGTAGAGTTTCATTACAGGCAAACCTGAAGTTAGCTATCGAGGTTGTTGCGACTCAGATTGGGGAGATCAATGTTACACGACATATTCCTACAAATAACCACGCTCCTGCATGGCACTAAATCAAGTAGAGCCCAATCACAATAACGTATGTCAATCTGTACCAACCTCACCAAAAGCACCCATTGCTAAACACACTATTCCGAAATTTGTTCAAGATCTTAGAACTAGTTTTAAATCTTAACTGTGGAAACAATGTGCGAGATAAATCTGTTGGGTGTCATGTAAGTAATAAGATCGTTAAGCACAATCTGGCGAAAGCCTTGCGAAAACTCCCCTTTGACATTTATGGCCTTACTGGAATTTACGTTGAACTTTGCCAATATCATTCTCCACTGCTCTTGGTGCAAACTGCGTAGCTAACGGCACCGAAAGTAATGCGGATCCTATGACCTTCTCTTGCATCATGCATTTTCCTTGCAAACTTAATGAACGGTAGACTGTAGTCTTGCGATAGAGCCAGTTCGATACCTCTGCAGGATGTACATACATTGCATACCTAATATGGCGCTTTCAGCTTCTCGTAGAAAATCCGTCACCTGAATCTGATTCCCTTTTCCGCGGTTTCCGTTATCCTTTTAAACAGAAGATCGTGTCAGGACATTGTCGATGAGCCTGAATCGTTTGATCAGTAATTGATTAATCACTATTGTGGCTTTACACACAATCCGCACAAGCTGAGGAAAACCTCCCTTCTTACGCCTACTCACTGAGTATGATTAAATTTTACTCCATGGGTTTCGGGTACAAGGGGAGAAGTCACGTTTTGCTATCGAGTTCGTGCTGTCATCAATGCAGGTTCTGATCCTGGCCTGGGCCGTCGCGCTGATGCATCACCTTCTACCGGATTGATTCTAGTGCCTGAAGGAACGTGACATGTGTATTAAGGTTGCGTGAAGGAAATTGGATTCATGAGGTTCGTGGGTATTGCAGGACTGTCTGCGGATGAAGCATGGAAGAAGCAAAGTAGAATGACAGAACTGAGCAACTTAGGGATTCTGACCTCATCCGTAGCTGACGTCTGCCAATGCTTTCCAAAATCTGCAGTGGAAATTGCCGGGGCAGATTGTTCTACACGCTCTGGGCTTTCGTAATTCACTGGCCCGGTGACTGAGGAATCATTTCGTGAAGCTGAAAAAACAAACATATGAGCAGCCGCTACAGACTGAGAGAGACACAATAAGGCACGTGCCCCAGGGCAGACATGCCCTCGATCATGGTACGCCCTGCTCGTCAAAATTTGGACTGTTGGCGGTATCAAGCCAGGCGGCAGGTGTGTTTTGAGTGGCCCGTGTCACAAGCGTAAAATGCTCTGGGGCCCTGAAATGTTAGTGGTCCATTCCAGCTTTATATTTGCTGTCCTTTCAGGCGGCAAACAGGCTGCATGAAGGTAAATAGACCAGACTGTTCATGAGGCCGCCGCAGTGTGCTGTTGGTAATGGACCGAATCGGTTGGACTTGTTCTGGAAAAATAAAGTTTGCTAACACGTGATAATGGAGCGGGAGCTATCAAATGGGCTTCCCACGGCCATCTGTCGTACCTGGAGGCAGGGTTGTTGCTGCCACCAAGGGTCATAATATTTCCAGTTTAAACTTCACTTAAGCGACAGAAATAAGGTGATTTTATGCACATAAACCATGAGTGTTTCAGCTTTTCGGACCAAATATAAACGCACCTCTTATCCGAGTCTCACAGGCGAAGTTGCAACGTCGAGAAAGCTTTTTCTCAAACTAACAAAACGCTACATGACGTAAACGAAGTTCCGTATGAATTCTCTGATTTGGTGTTCCTTACCTTGCGTGTCAAGTGTTTTGTACACGCACTGATGCACATATTCTGGTCATCATGTTCTTTCATGTTTGCAGGGACGCGTTTTGGTCAATACGGCAATCGGTGGTTCCTAGCATCTCGATTCGTGTGATGGCTCGGGTCTGATTAGTATGCGTTTAAAAGCGACCATAAGGGAAATGCGGAGCCCGGGGGCATGCAGGGACTTCCGAGCATTTAGTTGCTTCTAAGAGATGGCTTGCTTCCCTGAACATTTAGTCCTTTACACGGTCATCCCATACGGGGTTGTGTAAGCACTGTCAACATGTCATACCTACGCACTGAACACTGTTGACATTTACCAAATGGATTGGCGGGAAGTGGTTGCCTGGCAACGATACGGGCACTTAACTGCGCCATGTTTGATATCGGTTGCTGAGCTTTTGGGACCTTTTTGAGCGTCAAGGTTGCATGGCAGAAACATGGTTGGAAAGTTTGATTCAAGTTCATGTTCGCCAGGGCACTGAAGGCAGACCTTTATGCAATTAAAATACGTCTGCTATGAGTGGTCTGGCAAAAGGCCGCTTTCATAATGGTTGGTCGCTATAGCTCCACTTGACATACGCGACAGTCGAGGTGGGAAACAGATCGCTTTCGGCTTTCGAGGATTATAACTGTAGGCCTATGTGTAAAATTGCTGAGACGGAAGAACTCGATGACTATCCACTGACCGTCTTAAACCTCCAATTGTCTGAGGGCAGAAATATGTTTAAAATGCATCGTAGATTCGTCTGAATTTCTCCAACACATTTTACTTTTAGAGGTCATGTAGATCACGTCCGCATTAACCTAACACCACAACAGCTATCTGTCTACAATTCATCGACCCAATCTGAGAAACTCCGTAAAAAGAAGACCTTATCATTCTTTATTCCTTTACTGTCTCCTTGCATTTTGGAGCGTGCTCAACGTAGGAATTTAAGCTGTTCTTTTATCTCCCTCATCGTGATAACAGGCCCTGTCCGCCATCATTCTTCACTACAAAATGTATACGATACGCATACGTTACAGTCTGAGCAGATTGAGTGTGGGAGCGAAACTGATTGCTAGAACCATGACATTTAAGGGTATCTGCCACGACCAGTGACAGTTTACCCACGCACAATCGCTATTGGTTGCTAATACCACTGGCTAGTAGGGATCTGCTTGTTCTTCGGGCCCCCGTGTGAATTCAGGGGAAATTGTAAATAATGTGGTGAAATATTGATTGTCGTTTCACCTGCGGGGCCACATTTTCATGACGCCGTATTAGACAAGCATGAATGTGTTCAGAGAAAGCGTCTCTAAGGAGAGAATCTAGAGGCAGATGTTTTTAAGTCTAAAAATGAACCCGACATCAAGATGTTATTACCACATGCTTCAGTTTATTGTAATTATCGTACTTGTTTCTTTAAATTTGCTCAATTACTTTAGCGGTGTGGACAGCTCGACAGTCATACAGAATCCACTTGGTGAAGACAGCTGGTAATAATGTCACATCTAACTATGCTCTGTCTTGCAGCGATTGAACAAAACAGAGGCCTTCCTAGCAGGGATGCCATAATCAAAGTGTTGCCCCTGAGAATTGCAAAAACAACTTCTTATATTTACCGCTGGCAGGGATCCGTCGAAATCGACTGTCAGCTCTCAAAACCTGCAGCGTTTATTGGCGAGCTGCGGAGTAGAAAATTGGAGGGGGGAATGGGTTGAATTGTTGGGACTGTTCGTGATAATGATGAGGTTGCACCGGGCGAAAATATACCGCCCTGGGCGTGTTCGCCGTAATAAGCTACGGGATTTCAGCAAATCGTCAGCGCCGCGCTAAGGGTTGTTATTATTACCTTTCATAACAAGCGGCTTGTCCACTGGCCCGTAAAATTGGGTACCTGGGACGGCGTGATTTCATTTGCAGTCTCAATCGCAGACCAACACCATATTTTTAATGTAATTCAAAATAAGAAAACGTTCACATCACCAATGTTACTCCTCTTACACTGAGTAATTTTTTTAGAATTTGGAAAAAGTGTATGGCCCATGTTCACTGCAAAAAGGATTGCAATATTGGTAAAGATGCCTTACACTTCTCGATGAATGATTAATCTGTCAAAATACAGAATCCAGAACATTCCTTGCGTTGAATTTCCTTGCAAGTGTAAGGCCAAATCCTTGCTACTGATCACAGCAATTATTATGCGCTATTTAAGAGCTCTCAAGAGAGCGAAACCCGACCCGACCCTCTTGCCGTCAGCGATTAACTTGAGAATCGAATATTATTAAGACAAACGTCCGGCCACTCCTCACGCATTACTATCGTCACCAGACTCAAAATGGATTGTTTCGAAGAATCGATTCCAAGTAGAATTAAACTGACATGAAATGTCAGCCTTCTCCTGTTACCAACTTCGAGCGCATGCCTGGCTTCGAATGTACAAGCGTCGCCGTGATCTAAAATTACATTATAATACTCTGGAGTCTTTTCTGAAAGACCTGTATCTCTCTCCACATTTTTTTCTTTTCCCCTGCAGATCATGCGGAACATATTTCAGGAGTCTTTTAACTCTTACCGGACGAAAAGTGAGCCCAAGATCTCGGACTCGGAGGCGTTCAACATTCAGTGCAACCAGCGTCTCAGCGAGGTGAAGCTGTCATACCGGCGAGAAAACGTGTTGTATATTCAGGAGGAGAACCTGGTGGTGACTGTGGAAGGGGACGCCGTACGGAGTCTGAATTATAACTTAGGTAATGAGATACGGCTAGAGACTCTCGATATTAAAGCTGCCGTGTCGTGTAAAGTTCTCATACCCATTTTAGGTCTGATACTACTTCCGATCTGACAGCTTACACAAAGCCACGGGGCCCCTTGCAAGTCCTTGGGACTTGAATTCTTTATTGTGGGTTCAAGATCTTTTGGGTGTATGGACAAAGATTGTTTTTATGATCGATTTGAGTACTTTAATTCTTATTTCTACGTTTCATTTATTTATTAGATAAAATTTATTTCTTGTGTAAAAGGGGGTGAAAATTCTCAAAAAAACATTGAGGCGTTTTCATCAAAATAGGAAGTGTGCATAATTGAACAGGTTTACGTACAATTTGCCGTCTCTGACTGGAGTGCATAGCAAGTGATATCCCCTACCAAACATACAAAGACGAAAAGGTAAATGACACAGACAAGATAATGTATGCTCCCCCCGTTTTAAACTTGATTCTTCTAATTTTCAGTAGTATGAAAATATTGAACAGTTTCTTCGATAATCCCCACATGAAGTATTTTGTTGCCGTCAGCCCCACCTGAGATCAAGTTGAGGATTTGACACGATGGAGAGGCACTTTGCTCAAACACCGCCTCGAGCAGAAGCACCCCTTCATCGGTTGAAAAGAGCCACGTTGGTCGGATGTGTTCAATTTGTTGGTAGCGATGCGGCCGTGACGCGTGCACTTCGAAGTCGTTCGTAAACCGGCGAAGTTCAATTCCGACCAAAGGAGCCTCCATTTGCTGAGACAATAGCGCCCTCTCTTGGTCCAGCTCAAAGCCCATTCGGGCAATGCTTCCGCGGATCGAAGATAGCCCGCGGCTGACGTCTCCGGATGCTTAGGTTCACGTGTCATGGGACAACTCGTGCCGCTTTAAAACGGAATTTTTCCGCTGTGTTTCATTAGCTATAATTTTTAATTCATTGGTATTTTGTTGAATGATTAGGACTACAAATATCAGACTCGCAATTGACAGAGTTGTTTGCGCAAATCTGATAGTCTGTATACATGTATAGGCCATCTTGAATTGAAAGTGAGATAAAAACTGGGAAGATGAGAGTTAAAAAAAAACAGAGACGAAATAAATGTTCAATACAAATTCAGAACAGCTTTTGTTTAGAAAAAATTGTGATAACTACATCTAAAAGTTTTAAGCCGCATTAAAAAAATTATAGTGAGTTTTGGAACTCAAAATAGCCTGGCACCACCCAAGTCAACAGATTACACTCAACATGATAAATTCAGGGAATAAGACAATAAGGTCTGCTGTTTGAATATACATGCAATTTCAAACAATTCATAAATACAATCAATACTCAACCCCCCCCCACAAAAAAAGACGCAGCAATCTGAAATATCTGGTCATGTCAGCGATTTGGTTAGTAGCAAGTTGAACGCAGCTTTTTTTTCTGCAAATCGAAATATTCCTACCTTAAGTAGTAGGGCAGGCGCGAAAATCGAGGTCGATATTTTGTGGCGAGTCGACATTTAACCCTCAGGGCTTCAATTAATTGGCTGATTATTTAAAGCAATGCAGTCAATAAAATTGAGCGTGCTTTGCGCTGTTGGCAGGTTACCTGTCACATTACACCAATGTCGTGGGTGTTTGTCAAAATGCCCGGGCGCAGGCATAGGTTCGCCATTCGTCATTGCTCAAGATCATGGTGACCAATATTCCCCACAAGATCGATCAAGGTTTACTGATTAGGCCTACTGTAACTCCGCCCAGTACTAGTATTAATTTGTTCATAAACGGAATACTTTTGACTGTTCCCAGTAACGTGCTCCAATAGGATCGGTAAAATTTGAAAGCATGACGTCACTATGTTACCAAGTTAAGCTGTGTAACAGTCCATTGAAGTGCATGCGCTGCTTGCCAGGACAGCCTCGCATTCGACCCAAAAAGCACAAAGAGTCCATCACAACTCGAGCAAACAACAGAACAGACGCATTAGCCCAACCACTTACAACTGAGCTTGGACAGTCATCCCTTGATTTTAACAGTCGATTTGCCACGGTTGGTTGCCATGCGCTTTGGACACATAGACGTGAATACTCATGGCCTAACGCGTACCAAATCGCCACACATGTTAATCTACTTTTGAAATATGTCATTTGGATAAAAAAAAATCTTAGGAAAGCACAACGCCAATTTGGTACAGACATAGACCTACAGCACTTTTTCCCTCGACGGAATTGATGAAGACCCGTAGCATAGCAAATTTGAAGAGCCAAGTTTAATGTAGGCCCTTCTCTGGACACAATTTGTCAGGGCAGCTATACGCGATAGAGGTTTGGAATAATGAAGGAAAAGAGAAATTAAGGGAAGTTTTATATGACATACGCGGTGTACTCTCCGCCTATATTCTACAATAATGGCTGTTCTGTGTCTGCTGAGCAACGGATATTTCCGCCTTGTCTCCTGCACGATTGGCATTTTCTAAATATCTTTATACATGTACATCCACACGCAAAATAAATAACCCTATAATGTGCCTGCATGTCGGGGAGGAAAAACAAAATGTCAGGCTGTGGGGACAGGGAAGAGTCGTGTGATTGGTTATATGACCATCTTCCTATCACTTAGCACCAGGTCAAATTGGCAGATTTGATAGAAGCCGCTGATCACTCACCGGCCGGCAGGCTCGCTCTGATCCGCGGATGATGTGGAGTCGAGACAGCGAAGAACCCGTCAGACCCGGAGAAAAGGAAAACAAACGGCGACGGCTAATTAGCTCCGTGGAGGAGTATCCGCAAACAATCATTCCAAGAACTGGCATGTTTGTGATAGACGTTTTTATTGCATCTATCCAGCAAACACACCCACGGGAGTGAAAGGCTCCCGGGCCTCGCCTGTAACGTACTCGTATATGAGTTCAAGTTCCCTAGGAACTGCTTAGGCCTACATGGCACAATAGCACTTCCGCCCAAACGTGTCTTGGCTTATTTTCAATAAACTAAACAGCTTTTGATAAAGATGCTCAAATACTTCACCACGTCGCACATTTTCACTAACTTTGTGTATTTTCTAAATCAAAACAAATTGAAATTAACAGGGTTGCCTCAATTTAATTACATACTGCAGGGTCCAGCTAGAAATAAATGTCAAATTTGAGGCCCTCTCTCTATGAACATTCTTATTTGTCGGTGAACGTGAATAAAAATGGACAATGGAAATAACCTACAACTTTGAAACGGGAAATAACATTTCATCCAAAACACTGACAACATAATAGGCTGTATACAAAACATTCATAGACAGGATCGGTCGCTCTTCTTTGCCAATGGAAAAAACTACATGCAAAGTTTAAAAACCTTTCAAAAAATCGTCAAAATGAAGACCTAAAGAACACGTGTAGCTAAGAAACACCTGCATTTCGTCAAGTGAGCCGAGTCCAATCTAGGAATTCCAGTCCTTAATCAGTCACATGACCGAAAATAAGTTATGGCGCCTTTTTATGTAACATTACTTTTATCAGACGTCGCGGCGATTAATTTCCGAGTTGGATTCAAGATTTCTCTCCTTGCGCAGATGGAACAGCTCAAATGTGAGCGACAAACAGAACTCCCAAATCCATTAAAGGTTTAGGATGGTTTTCTCATGTGACGGTAATTGAATTGGTCATGGATTCATCCGACATGGCATGGTAATGAAACAGCTCCAAACTCACATTAAATCGGCAACCGGAGAATCAGAGCGAGACAAAAAATCAATTTTTACAAGCTCGCAAGACTTTGGTCTTTAATAACTACAAGGTTTACATCTGTATATAAACCTCTCGTCAAATACTTATACCATATGGTGTCCTTGAGGCAAATCAATGATTCTATGAGATGCAATTTTACCATCTTACGCAGCCTTAACACAAACACAGTGAAATGTGGCAACCGTACCCAGCTCAGGGACATCCACATCAAGATTTAATTGGTGTTAAAGTGGCCTCAATTGAATCTGAGCTCGAGGATGCCTTGGCAGTGCCGATACACGAACTGGCACTATTTGTACTTAGCACTGATAACCACAGATGCCAAGCCTCGAAGTTGCAGTGGGTCATACAGCTCTTGTAACACCCTCCTTATTTCTGTTATCAACAAAATGATTTCAAAAAATTATACTTTCGAGTTTGCGACTTGTACACTCCTCTTCTCGGATTCCTTTCCCTCCAATCTCGATCCGGGTTTGTTTTAGGTCAGTTCTTTCTCTGACGATGACGGAGTACACGCAGAAACGCGACTCCAATCTGATGCCTCAGTACATACAAGTGAATCGTGCGATAACGCCGTTGTTTCTCCGAACATGATACTCCTCAGAAATGATGTTTGTGGTGTGTGGACGACGCTAAACGAAATGGATTGCCTCAAACGCTGAAACCAATTTTCTCCCAGTCACGACTCACTCATTGACCGATCACTAACCTGCTGTTTGTCTTTTTTTTTCCCTTTACCTCGTTCTAACAGGCTTCGAGGTGAACATGGGATTACGAGGCCTGGAGTGCATGGCGTCTTTCATTGAGGACATCGTGACGGCAGACAACCAGAGTGCCTTGGTTAAAGCCATGTCGGTCAAGACACGCTTCTCCCACCAAGTCAACAAAGAAATCGTCCAAAGCAGACTCTACAACACTCTTGGCTCAAACAAATAAATATTCATGTACTGGTAGCAGAGTAATTATTACTGTTTGAAGAGCATGCGTTATTATTTATTTAACGGGAAAGCTGATCTTTAGTTAAGTTGTTTTGTAGGATGGCACGCTTTAAGAGCTAAATCCGCACTTGGCCAAGAGGGCGACGTTCGTACGTTATAGAATGCATTTACAACACGATGCGCATTGCTTTGAACATCGTATCGAACATTTCAGTAAGGGGCGGGGCAGACTCATTGGAGATGGGGGGAACAGTGCAGCAGTTGGTTTTAACTTTATATCACCTTAGTTTGTTAAAAGGGAAGTTCTCTCCAGGCCTCCTTACACTCACGGTGTACATTTCTTATAAAAGCAAATGCTTGTAATTTTTGGCACAAAGCTGTTTATGTATTTGTATCTTTGTAAGCATTTGTTACACTGAGTAGCACATAACTTGATCTGGACACCGACTTAACCATTATTGGTCTTTCTTAGTAGCGTTTGTGTTGTATGTTTCTATAGCTCTCGGAAAACGGGAGAAAGTGAATATCGAAAAATGTAGGGGGCAGCATGCAGGCAAATGCGACGCGGTGGTTTCGGGTTGAGCTACCGATCGACGGTTGGGCAACCTTAAAATTTTTCTGTGGTTCGAAAAAGTTCGTGCTATTACTGGAGAAGAGGGAGGTTACATGTTCATGTGCGTTCGGTTGCCCCGTCCGGTTCGTTAGTGACTTCGTCACAAAGACGGACGCGCCACGATTTGCAGGCTCTCATTGGACGATCGCTGAAGTTGGGCGTTAACTTCCGGTTCTACGGTTCCATGTAAACGGCGGTCAAAGCATGTAACTCTATGTGCAGTGGGCGTGGTCTGTGTTGAAGTGACGTCACACTTACGAACCGGATAAACTTCCGATACCATCCCTTTAATAAGTTGTGTGGCCGACAAGACGCCCTCTGAAAAGACTAAAACCGGCACCGTGTCCAGCTCCCGACTGAACTATTAAGTGTGACTAAAAACAACATGACCGTTTCTAAAATACCCACCCGATTGGAGGATTGCCAGAGCAGGTGATGCTCCCCTAGGAATGTTGACACACTGGCGAAGGTACCCAGTTACCGAAAGCTCGGCAATAAGATAATTCAGAGCACTGATTGTTGAAGATATATTTGTTGTCAGCAATCCTATCACGGTGCTACGCAGCCCTTTCATATTTCTAAGCCTCCTGTTGGACATGTGCATGTCTATGTGGTCAGAAGGCGCCAATGAACCAGAAGGCTGAGAACCCTTCGATTTGAAACTAAATTTCACTATTATAGCTTTCACATCAAGGATTACAATTAATTGGATATATACATACAGCTGACGCTAAAGGAGGAAAAGAAATGCGCGTACTTCCTTTCCGGTTTCATCAGGTAACGAGGAAAACAACAGCGCCGAGCAACATCACAGGTCTGTGAAGTTCAGCTTTAACGCAAAATATGCTGTCCTCCCTCAACATTAATTAATTCAGCTATTAAGACAGAAACACAAAGTATCTGACCTTTAGGCTTGTTGCAACGACAGAGGAGTTAAGGACATCACCTCATATTTTGAATGTTGGTATTCTCTGTTGAAGCCCTGGACAAGAAAGTAGGTTAAGTGCACTTGCGGTTCTGTTGCACTTAACTAAATTGGAAAAAAAAAGGGCTCAGGCCTACGTGGAAGAAATGGAGGTAAGGGTTGTCTTTATGAATCCAGTGTATTCAAAAAGTGGGTCCTTAGGGTTCAAGTGAGACAGTCACCTTGCCTCCTACTCACTCTAGTTGTAGCAACGAGTTGTAGCAGCCGAACCTGACTTTGTTAGGTTCGTTTATCACAGAGAGCCACATGCATTATTGTCGGTCAACTAGGCCTACAAGATGTACAAGATCTAGGGATATAAAATGTATTGTTAGGCACAATAAATCTACATTTGGACAGAACACAAGAAACCTGAAGATTATTCTTTGTAATTGAACAGAATTCTGGACTCGCTTTTGTCCAACCACACTCATCAATCCATGTGCTGCCATTCACCCTCCAGCATTTTGCATTAGTCAATAACCTGTCAAAAAGAAAAGGTTATTTCATACAAGTACTTGCCAACCTGCGGTAGCTGTGACAATTTTCCAGGATGAAGTGGCAAGCAATGGTACATGTATATGACCTATTGTCAGAACTAGGTAACATTACTGGAGATAAATGTAATCAGCCTGTAAGTTGGGTTGGGCTGTGTTGGGGTGCATTGGGTGGGGTTGGGCTGGGCTGCGTTGGGTTGCGAGGTCTTCAAATGTACTACCTATCAGACTCAGAATGTAACACCAAATGAAGTTAGACTGACACATCTTGCTGCTGTTTAAGGCTGGTATTCTTTTTATTCACTTTACATTCTGTCGTGAGCGTGGTCCAACAGGTAAAGATTCCCTTGACCTACAATAAAATGATCCAGGGAGGTTGAATCTGATCAGAGATGATTCCAATTTGTCCTTTTGTGAGAGTGTCAAGTTATAGCCTGTTCCTCCCCGCCTTACTTCTTGCGGGTGGCCTTCTCGCGTTCCTCCTCTTCTTTCTCCCGTCTCCTCTTGGCCCGGATGCCTTCCAGCCTGGCTCCAGAGCGGGCCATGCGCAGCGCCTGGAACACGCTGTGTTTCTTCTCCTCCTCGGTGATGGCGCGAGCCGCCTCCTTCTTGAAGACGGGCTTGATGGGCATGACAGGGCCCACTAGCTGCTTGGCAACCTTCAGCTCGGCTTCCTGTGAGAAATTACAATTTATTAAAAAAGGTCATTCGATAGTTCACATTTCAGATTATATTACATACTATCAAAAGGAAAATAAAAATAATGTTGATCTTAACCCTAACTCCTGGGGTGTTCTTGCAAAGCATCATCCTCAATCCTTCAAAATCCTCCGATATTCACGCAAAAAAATTGCATTTAGCCTCAATCCTCCCAAAACCTTCAATATTTCTTGAACATGCTCCTTTGAGGGGTGACTGCTTCCTCAATCCTTCAAATTCCTGTGGCAATTCCTTTGTTGAGGCAGTGTGAATGGTATCCTGGAGCAGTATGGACGATTTCACATATAATGTGGGCATGAATTTATACACGGCTGATAAAAAACAACACCAGGTCTAACCCACAACCTTGACACAGTACGTCCTTTGCAATCAGCCACACTTTTTTTTGCAATTCTTCCTCAAACCTCCAAAATCCTCCAAAACCACCCAGGGGATTGAGGACTGAGGAGGGTTAGGGTTAGAGGGAAAAAAACAACTATGGAGGGGGTGAACAATGATTTGAGCATCATGTTCGCTGCAGTGCCATGCACTGGTTTTTCCTCAATACACGCGCCTTAAAGCAAACCATTCACTTTGGCTCCTTTGTCCAATATTTGCATCAGCAACGTGCCTGCAAATGGAAACAAAGAAGCAATGGCTTCGACATGCCACCTGCTGAAACTTGTCTCTTTTCTTCTACCTTAACCCTCCTATGTGGAAGTCACTCTTTGGGTCACTTGGTAAACACCTCAAGGAAGCACAGCTGTGTCATGTTGTGCACTGCACCAACAGTACCTCACAGGAATATCAGATTGCCCAACAACTGTGCTTCACTGTTTCATGTGCATAATTGTGCAGTAAACTAAATGCANCACATGCTCACCAGTGACTGAGGGCATTTGTGCACATTTGTGCTGTAAAACCAAAAGAGGGTTAAAGGATTTCACCTTTCAGGGGTGAGATTGGGGGGATGGAGAGAAATTCACGAAGCATCAATCAGAGAGGGTGTAAGGATGACAGTGAAATGCTGTGACTTTAAGAACGTTTAATTAATTGCTAACAAGGACTTCCCAAATGGCAACGATTCAATCTTATCCTTGGCTGCTAGGGTGCGAACAATTAATAAAACCTGAATGATTAAACCTCCGAAAATCCACATTCTGGGGGATCAAAAATCCTGAAATCAACAAAAATCCCAACCAATCACAGCCCTTGCCAAATTCAGAGAGCCCCTAACCAGAAAAATGTAACTTGGCATATTCATATGCTCAAAAAAAAAAAGGAAGCCGAGGCAAAGCCAGGAGAAGTAAATGTCACATTCTGTTCGCTTTGCTAAGCAGATAAATTCCACCCACCTCCGAATCACCCTTCCTGGGCTTGCCAGGCTTCCTAGGGAACAGGATCAGCTTGGATTTGTACTCCTTGAGCCGCTGGACATTGGCCTGCAGACCCTCCACGGATCGGTTCCTTCGCCTGTGGTCCACGGCAATGCCGATGGTAGGGGCATACCGCTTAAAGATTCCAGCAGCCTGGTACAAAAAAATTCCATGGATACAACGGACTGTGACAAAATTCTCATTCCCTTCGGAAAACAAACGTCTTTTGAGATGTTGGAAATTTTGTATGACACAAGGTTATTCATCCCGCATCCACAGGTGTAATTGTTTATCACATTAAAAAACCTCTTTCCAAATATGGGCAATTCACAATACACTGCACAACCAACAGGTTGCCCGGGAATGGCCAGTTTTCACGCATTACGGGAATAGTTGACAAGTTAAATTTACAAGCTGTGCATGGGGAGCTTAAGTTATTCTTGATTTCTGTTTGTCAGGGAAGACGATTCATAAGTGTACTTCCAGGAGCAGTTTTAATTTGTCCTTTTTTCTTTCTGTTGCATGGAATGCCCTCTTCAAATCAAGTTGTCAACTGACATACGCTCAAATGCATATCACGTCAAAGCAGCCACGCTTTTGTCAACTGTAAACTTGAAGAATGACCTCAACTTGGAAACCTTGTGGTTGTACAATGTATTGTTGATCACCACTACGACAATCACAACATACAATGTAAGATGAGCGATAACTCGCCACATTTAGAAATTACAAATTCAAGTGAGGAGCAATTTCTCTCCTATAAATGTAGATTTTGCTTGAAACTATGGCAAATTACAAAACTAATAACTTAAAATTAATGATTTTTGTCAAAAGGTGTTAACCCTAATAGTCCTCTATCTTCCAACAAGTGAAGGATTGAAGACTCTTCGAGTTGAGCAAGTGTTTGCAGTGCGAGTTGTGTTTTAAAAAGTGATGCTCGAACACAAGGATTTAAACAACTTCTACCTTGTCCAAATGACCACATGAAGCTCTAATTGTCTAATAAATGTTTTGTTTGGTGAACCCAACATCAATCAATGGAAAAAGATGTCATTTATTTCATGTTATGAATTGGCAACACCTTTACAAAAGCAATGGTCCATTGTTGGATTCTGTGGGATCAGGACTGCTGAGGTCAATGAAACAAGGAGAGGGCAGGGATAAACCTACCTTCAGCTCTTCCAGCGAGAAGCCTCGACCAGCACGGACCTTGGTGTGGTACTTGAAGGTAGGGCAGTGGACCATGGGACGCAGCGGTCCAGACGCAGGGCGTGGGGCAATCCGCAGGGCCTTCTTGACGCGGTTCTGTCGTCGGCGCGCCTTGCGCATGGGCTGGTTGAACCATGTCTTCACACGCTCCTGCCAGTTTTTGTGGAAGTGGACATTGGGGATCATGCCATTGCGGCGTTTCGTCATCTTGCAACCTGCTGCATTGGAGTAGAGCAATGAAGCAAAAGTTAGTTTTCTTCATTCCAACCACGGTATGGAATGTCACGACATGACGAAAAACAATGTAAATACTTTAAGAGAGATATGAAAATGACTAACCACAATACAGTGTTTGCTATGGAGTAATACCAATAACAAAACTACTTTAAATACACACAAAACAAATTAAGCACTTTGGAAAACGATCACTTGCACTATATCAAATCGTTCAACCTAAGGCAGTAGGTCTGTTTAGAGCAAGGGCTTAACCCTCCTTTGGTTTTATAGCACAAATATGCACGAGTGCCCAACAGTTACTCTTGTGCATGTATTTTCTATATGGAACACAAACATGCACAGGTTCAGTGTGTACATAGTTGGTTGCCAGCACAAAATGACCCAGGGTCTTTTGTGCAGTCCTCTTCACTGCATTTAGTTTACTGCACAATTATGCACATGAAACAGTGAAGCACAGTTGTTGGGCAATACAAAAGTGCAATCTGATATTCCTGTGAGGAACGGTTGGTGCAGTGCACAACACGACACAGCTGTGCTTCTTTGAAGTGTTCACCAAATGACCCTAAGAGTGACTTCAGCATAGGAAGGTTAATACAATAAAGTGCATACTCGGTGTGCCATCATGGACGGTAGTTTTTATCAAGTAAGTTCACTGAAAATTAAAGTCCAAAATGTCTATTTATGCACTTCCCACAAAAACAACAGCCATCCCATTAATTATGATGCATCACATTTATGGTGCACTGTACAAGCACAACATTAACATGGTTAACAGTAGACTCAGTTCAATAATCATTTTGGTAAACCCAGTATATGCATATAGATTCAATCCAGGTTTTTTCTTGGTGCAAGCAACCCCAATATGTCAGCCACATGCTGGCAGAAGTTTTGGGCAAATGTCACATAGAACCAAAAGCTAAAAGAACTTCATTCCACGGGTTTTTAGAGAGCCGTGTGCATCATAAACCACAGTTCTAGCCCTGGAACTCTGGGGTTCACTGTCCGTCACACTCCATGGGAGAGTAGCCAATTACAAACCCCAGAGTTCTGGGGTTAAGCATACTAACTGATAGTAGGCCTAAATCATTAACCGACACTGTCATGACTGTGTTGTAACTGTGATTTTGCGGTAAAAAGAAATGACATCAACACATTGCATATTTATTTCCTACTTCCTAGACCTCGAGGACAACTGCAAAAATCAGTGTTCTAATCAGTTCCTTCAGAAGTAACATATGTTGAAGTAACTCACTATAGCCATGATAACTCCTAAAAAGGGACTATGTACACAGTAACAAGGGTAGCGAAGTTACACATAGGCCTACATGTACATCATCTGATCGTGATGTACATATCACGCACGTCATGTAATCGTACATGAATGAACGACGAAGTAGGCCTAGAATGAGATTGGATTTCTAACGTTATCTAAAGCTACTTTTACATGAAAAAGACTTGTAAATTAATTCTTAGTGTGTCCATATTTGAATGAGGTGTTTAATTTCGATTTAAAGAGTTGGATGGTTGTGATATTCCTAAGGTATTTCAAGCTCATTCTTCCAACAACTCACCGGGTCTCAATTCACCCTACGAAAAGGAAGCTTGGTACCTGAAATACAAACACCAGAATTGTGTTGAAAATAACGCTAGAGATAAAAATCATTAATTGGGGACCCGACTTGAAGAGATAGTGGCGCAAGGACTTCTGGGAAAACATTGTCTCGTTCTTCAAAGTAGTAATGGCAGAAAATTTGGATAAAATTTATACTCATAAAAAAATCCCTGATAGTCCATTTGAGCTACAATTGTTTTGTAGAAGACATAAATCTAAGTAATTTGAAATTATTTGAGTCCGTAAAGGTACGAGGTATAACAGCAAAGAAATATTTGTCAAATAAAATTTAGAACGAGTACAATATGGCGGCGCCCATAATCTCTTCATGTTTACAGTTAGCGCTTAAAATCTTTTTATAATAGCTCCATGATCTACCACCTGCCATATTTCATTTTATGAAATTAAGCATTGTTCTCAACTTTTTTCTTACTATCCTGCCTTCTTTAAGTGGTTTATCCGATCTGCTACGTGGGAAACGGCATCATAAACTGTCTGCCAGTGCAAACCGAGTGAGTCAACTGACTGTCAATGACTGTACTTCAACTGAAGTTCTAGCTAGACTCTTGTCTCCTTTTTATCATGTTTATGGACTAGCATTACAGTATAGTCACACATAGTTCCACAGCATGGTCAGCAGGTAATGGTAGCCTGTTGTCTGATTAGGTTAGGCCATAATGGCCGTGTCTGTAGCTGTACGAACCATATGAATGGAATATATAAATATGCACATGAATTTTACCATGACATTTTATTTAATTGGATTTTATCAGTACCTGATGCACGTGACAGGTGCTGGTCCAAAACCGTCAACTCACTTAACACCGACTGAATTGAGGGAACAAATGTTTAATTTATTCATTGAAAGATGGCCATTGACAGACATGCAAATACATATGAAATAACACGACCTTGCTCGAATGTTAGGGAAACATTCATTTATAAATAAGCAACTATGGATGTAAATAAACATGTGCCATTGCTTTGTACGTGTGCGTCTTATTTAAAAGAGAATGAGAAGTTAGCGCTCTAGGTTTTATATATAGCTCTATGGTGCGAACTTATTATTTTTAAGTTCACATGTTTCACTCACATTTTATCAACAGTATCAGGTCGAGCCAAATACATCAGTGTCTACTTCACTCTCTCTCTGGAGATTTTGCAATGTAAAACACAGAGTTACTTATTTATGGTAAGGCTAATACCTTTGATGGACAACTTACCATTGGGGCAGATTTTTTCAAGTGTGTGACAACAAAAGTGGTCTTGCCTGTTAAAGATTTGCTCTCAGATGTGACATGATCAAATATGTACTGCAGTAATGTACATCTATCACTCCTTGATAAGTTTGTTCTGTTCTTTGTCAACTTTTTTTTTAATGTTTGTAATCTGGGACAGTGGTGAAGGTCAATAACTGAAGATGGCTGTCTACTACAGATGTATTTCAAGCCCTTTGCGAGTTTGCTTTTACCCTATAAACCTTTGGAAGAAATCATCCAGATTTTTGTACAGCAGAACTGGAGAGTGGGTAAGGAATTAAGATAAGGAATAGATGTACATGTGTTCAATAAATCCTGGCAATAGAAAGTCTGCAACCAATCTGTAAATTATTTTGTTCTCCGGAATGACAAGAACTGCTTATTCTGTGTTATGAAGAAATGAGTGATGATATTTTGGGATAAATATTACAGGCTATTTCAAGATGTTTGTCCATTCATTTTCAGGTGGACAAGTTTTCTTTGGAGACTCGTAAAGAGTTAGAGGCATATTGGAAGGATGAACTACAAGCGTTCAGTGCGGAGCAGACCCTCAGCAAACAGGTAGAGTGCATGATAGGCAGATGTTGGGGTTATACTATGGCTGTTAGAGGCTTTATGCTCCAAACTCTTACATCCCTTCATAACTCATGAAGGAATGGATTTATTTATCCCTTTTAATTCTGAGTTTATTATGAGTGTAATCAGAGGCAGAAAGCATTTCAACATTAAATATGGTACAACTTCATAATCATGCCATCGGAATTTCTATTAGTATGAAAAGGAACTGTGAACAGGTTTAACAGATGCAGCCAATGGAAAGTCAAAGAGAAGGGTTTATATTTATCTCACCTCTACTTGATATAAGTAACAAAAAAATGCAGTTCTAGAATGATATCTCATTCTGCATGTATATTTTTTGTGCTAGGAAGCTTAAATTTAGCTTAGAATTCTTGAAAATTTCGAGTATATTGTAAGCTCAATCATTTGTATTTCTATCCTCTTCCATTTTCTTTCTCATAGGACCAGAGACCCAAGTATTATGTGCTTTCCATGTTCCCATATCCATCAGGACGGCTGCACATGGGACATGTCCGAGTTTACACTATCAGCGACACCTTCGCACACTTTCATCGCATGAATGGCAAACAGGTTAGGATTCCATTGACACTAAGAGACCACTTTTTAATTTTTTTGCCCTTACCTGACGTATATTTATAAACACTGCTTGATATTTATAAACACTGCTTGTTCGAGAGCTTGTGAAAAATTCACAAGCTTACTCGAGTAGAACTCGAACCCATGACCTCCTGCTTACTAGTGCAGATGTCTTAACCACTTGACCACCGAGCTTGCCGGGGTCAGCTGGCCGGTCCAATTCAGGTGTAGCAGTGGGTACCGCAAAGCTCGGCAAGCTCGGTAGTTGAGTGGTTAAGACGTCTGCAATAGTAAGCGGGAGGTCGTGGGTTCGAGCCCACCCGAGTAAGCTTGTGAATTTTTTTTTGCAAGTTCTCAGACAAGCCCTGCAGTGTTTATAAATGTATATGTCAGGTAAGGGCAAAACCTGCAATAAAAATTAACATCTCCCCGATGCAAAGTACATCTTGACCAGTAATAGACTACACATTATTCCAATGCTCGAATCTAAAGAAAGATGTAGTCACCCAATTTGTCTGGCATAAAATGCCTCAAATTTTGGGGGGTTTTTTGTTTTGTCTTGTTTTCTAATGAACAGTAGGCCTAACATAATGAAAGACTACAAATTATTTATTAATTTAATTAATAAAAATTAATTAAACAACAACTATTTTGCCTTGCTCAGGTACTGCATCCAATGGGATGGGATGCCTTCGGTCTCCCAGCTGAGAATGCCGCTATTGAGCGAAAACTCAAACCTGATGACTGGACCTACAGGTAAACCCTTCAAATCACTTGTTTTTGCCCTCCACTGACATAATGTGCAAAGCTTAGCAGGGTGCTATCCAAGAGCTGGTAAGAAAACACTCATAAGTTTCCCTTGCATGGATTTTGATATAAGGATACCTGTGTATTTGAGACCCCTAAAAAGTTGGTTGTTCATTTTTTCAAAAACAGGTTGTAGCCCCAGTGAAAAAGCAATTATTTGTGAAGACAAGCGTGATTTTTCAAGTATAGTTTTCGTTTTTTATCATTGCCACAGCAATATAAGCTACATGAAAAAGCAGTTGAAAGACCTTAGTATGTGCTTCAATTGGGACAAGGTAAGCTGACCTCTGTATGTGAATGTTACTCTGATGATTGTCTTTTGGTAGCTTTCTTCTTTTGCCATTGTCTTATAAACTTATCAAATACTACCACATTGTACAGTAGTGGTTTTGATTTCACACCATTTGCCTGAAAGTCTCGTTTGAAAGTCTGTTATTTCAACTGGATTCAGGAGGTGACTACGTGCAATCCTGATTACTACCGATGGACACAGAGCATCTTTGTGAAGCTATACAAGGCAGGATTGGCCTATCAGAAAGAGGCTCTCGTCAACTGGGACCCTGTCGATCAAACAGTGCTAGCCAAGGAGCAGGTGAAGAGAGAAATATTTTAGAGTTTGTAATGAAACAGCAATGATTGTTTTGATATCATCCTTTTACCCAGGTCTGTAATATATGGTTCCAAGTTTGACTTCTTTCAGAGTTCTTTTTTTTTTTTATCGAGGTGGATGAGAATGGATGCTCGTGGCGATCAGGCGCCAAAGTTGAACAAAAACTCCTCAAACAGTGGTTTCTGAAAATGACTCACTACTCCAAGGTAAGAAGTAATCGTTTTCTTACGGTTCCTTGTTTTTCATTCCATTTGTATCATGATATGCAGGTAGTCTTTTACAGTTTATAATATCCCATCCAATTCCTTTATGAAATGCTCTAGTCCTTGCTTGATGGCTTGGAGGAGTTGCCTCATTGGCCGGCTGGAGTTAAGAGCATGCAGGCCAACTGGATCGGTGATTGTAGCGGCTGTGCTTTCCACTTTAAATTACAGGTAAGAACGAGAAGTGATTCCTGTTGTGTCAGAAACGTTACGGGTTGTAACTATTATCACGTTTTCATCCACTATCAACTTCGAACCATAAACCGACATCACCGTTACGCTATCCATCATAGTTCAGAATAATCCATTTGCATCCATTGCCAATATTTACAGGATTCAATGCAGCATCTCAGCATGGACCTCCCCGTTCACACAGCCTACCCCGAGCTCGTCTACGGAGCATCTCACATCATCTTGGCACCCAGCCACCTCCTACTCAGGAAGGAAGACTTCCTCAACTGTCTCTCCTCAGATGTGCAAGAGCAGCTGAAGCTGATGGATTCCAGAGAGTTAGGTATCGGAGAGAAATCAGCAGTTTGAAGGAGTCACATCTCCAAAAGTGGAGTTCTGTTCTACCTGATACGACCAAGACTCTTATGTGTGCTCACTTTAAAACCTGACTCCTCGTAAAGTTTTGGAACTGTGGAGTACAGGCTATATAGTTTAATGTGTTACAGCGACAGAGCATTCTCTGTTCTAGTAATGTTCTGTTTTTTAGTGAAACTATGAATTCCTCAAAAATGCTGATAATAGTAGAAAAACACCTGATGAATAATCCAGGGAAAATCCAAACAGTTAGATAGGAACAGGAAATCCAACCAACATCTCAGCCCGGTTAGGATTTGAACCCTGGTCACCGATAGCAAGCAAGGAAAGTGACATTCTTCCAATGCTTAATTAATATAGTGAGAAACCAACACATGAAATGTTCGACTGACTTACGTCGTTAACCTTGTTTCTTTGATTGTTTTTGCATTTCCTCTTCAAGACGTCAATCTTGGCATCAGTGCCATCCATCCTCTCAGTCAGAAGCCCATCCCCATCTTCGCCTCAAGCCGCATCCCCTTCCAGGAAAACGTGGAGTCCAGCCTAGGCATCCCTTGCTCCTGCCAGGAGGATCGGCAGTTTGCCGACCTGCACAGGATTTCGTATGAGACAGTCACGAAAGAGGAGCTGAGGACACCAGGCTGGTGAACTCAGATCAGGTGAGAAGTCATGCAGGTCACGAAGGTCATGAGTGGACTGTCCAGTAATGACAACAATGATGGTCAGTCATCGCAATAGCATGGTTTGATATTGTTGATATTAATCGATAATGACATCAGGAGTGGCCAAGAGTCGATCTGTCCACAGCAATCTTGTACTTTTTGACAATTCAGTGACCAAAAAGGTTTGTGACGTTTGTGTATTTCTCCAGTTCACAGGGATGACATCAGAAGAAGCCAAAGAAGTAATCATGCAGCATGCAAGAGCTTTAAATATTGGAGGTCACATGACAAGCCCCAGGCAATTTGATTGGTTGATATCCAGGCAGCGTTACTGGGGCACCCCGATACCAATCATCAACTGCAACCAATGTGGGGTAAGAGGAAACTCATTTCCTATGCCAGGAAGATCTAGTTTGGCAGTTTGTATTAATACATAATTCTATAAGTTGACGAAAAACCGGCTACATAAAAAGAATCAGATTCAAAGGAAAGAATCTGTCGGTTTCCATTAGTAACATCTGAAAACGTGGAGGTGTTGCGTAGTACTCCTAATCCCTTTCAAAGAAAAAATATGATATCAAATAATAATAAAAAATTAGGATAAAAACATAACAAATCCACCAAAGGGTGTTTGAGGTATTACTCAAATACACACCAAATTATGCAAATTATGTAAATGGCTGAAACAGAAAAGTCAGACAACCTTACAAAAGAAAAATGTCCAAAGTAAACAAAGCTAAAGACCAGTGGATAAAATGAAAACTTTGCCCTTACAAAGCTTCAACCTTTTCCTAAGAATTATGTCTCCTTGTTTGAAAATAAGTAAATATTTTCGTTGACATGTGTAGGCTGTTCCTGTGCCAGAGGAGGATCTTCCAGTAATACTTCCCAAACTAGACACCCTCACTGGAAAGGGAACGTCACCCCTTGCAGAGGTCACACACTGGGTCAACGTGGAGTGTCCTCAGTGCTGTAGCAGGGCTAAGCGGGAGACAGACACCATGGACACATTTGTGGATTCGTCCTGGTATTTCTTGAGATACACAGACTCAGCCAATGAGAAAGAGGCATTTAGGCAAGAGACGGCTGATTGGCTAATGCCGGTGGATTTGTACATTGGAGGCATTGAGCATGGTAAAACAACAATCATATTGTCAAGTCTCTTTCAACTTCAACTGTTTGGCATGTTCCGGGAATAAATTTTCAGAAAAGTTATATTTTTCCTTTATTGTACAACTTTGATGCTAAAAGAGATGCCTGTGAAGTACGTCTTTGAGGCACGTCACTCGGACAAAATTTGACAACTGATACTGTGAATGTTTGCTTTGGTGTGATGTCGGTTTTGTCAGGATTTCTCTGTCTGAGTGAATTTGTTGATTATTTGCTTTGTGTGGACAGTGCATCACTGAACTGTCAGTGGTCATTTTTGTAAAGCATGGACAATGGTTACTGGCAAGCATTGATAAGATTTACATATGTTCTTCTTTTACAAGAAGATGCAACAGGTTTTGAAGATTGTGTAGAAAATGAATCAGTGCACTTTTTTGCCGTTTAGACTCACAATATGCATACTTGATGTGTCCATTCTTGGCTATCATAATTAGGCATCAAACTGACATCTACAAGTCTGTACAAACTCCTCACGCTGTGTCCTTGTGCTGGGAACTTGAAAAGACATCACTGCAGAACAAATCCATTTATGATCTGTCTGTTTCATAACTCCCATCTGTAGCCATCATGCATCTGCTCTACGCCCGCTTCATCAATCACTTCCTCTACGACCAGGGCTTGGTCGCTCACAAGGAACCCTTCACTCGTCTCTTGACCCAGGGACTGGTGATGGGACAGAGTTACAGAGTGGCATCCACTGGCCAGTATCTCAGGCCAGAGGAGGTAGAGTTCAAAGGTGAGAGGGTCAGAGGTCAAATGAGAGTATGATATGGCAAGTCTTATAATGGTTCCTTTCAAAGTGCCAGTAACTCATAAATCTGACACAATGAAGTGAAAAGTGTGCTTAGCATTCAAAGTTCTTCAATTTCTCACAAGTGTGATTTGTGGTCACTTGGGAAAAATGATACTCTTATGGATATTAACTGTCTGGACAAGATCTACCACATCTTAAACAAAAGAGAACAACTCTTTGGAATGTTTGTATAATTGGGCTCACACTTTGATTTATTTTTTTCCCCATGAAGATGAGGAACCACTGCAAAAGGGTACCGGTGAAAAGCTGATCGTCAAATGGGAAAAGATGAGCAAATCCAAGTATAACGGTGTTGACCCTGAAGACACCGTCAGGGAGTATGGGACTGATACGGTTCGACTGTTCATCTTGAGCGGCATTCCACCCGAGCATGACATGCCTTGGAATATTGCAGGTGAGTGTTAATGACAAGCAATGCTTCTAAAGTGTTTGGAGCAGAATTTTGAATGGAACCATAAATTGCTTGATTCAGGGACAGTTAATGTTGAGATTTCAGAGATAAAAACCAGGAGCTTAAACAGACAAATGAAAGGAAAATATGTATTTGCTTGGAATCAAAGATATATTGAAGGTTGAATTTCTGTCAATATTTGTTTCGCTTAGCCATTTCTGGAGTCATGCGTTGGAAGAACAGACTCTGGTCGCTTGTTACAAGGTTCATCGATGTTAGAAACCAACGGGAATGGTCCCAGAAAATCCAAGATGAAAAGATGAAAAGACACAAAGCAAAGCTGTGGAAGCTTAGGAACACTGCAATTCAAGAGGTACTTATGGCCATTTACTGTAATAAAACCCCACATTTTAAAGGAATTGATTTCAAACTATTACTATTTGTTTGACAGGTAATTTGCACTAATTCATCACTCTTTGAAATTAGAAAATGTGATCTGAACTGACAAAATCATATGTCAGATGTGACAGGGACACGAACAAAATGGGCCCCTAATTTCTGGAATTTACCCGTATTTGAATCAGGCAAATTTTCGAAACAGATTAGATGTAGGGGGGGGGCTTGAAACGTAGAACACTCAGATACCTGTAGATAGGGAGCAAACTTCACATATTTTTGAAAGTACAGCACAAGATCGACCAAAGGGTTTTATACAGCAAATGAGTAAACTGTCATCATAAATAAATATTAAATTGAACCTAATGAGAACTAATTTATTTAGGGGAGTTTATTTGAGAGTAATTTTATTACCCACGGTAGGTAACTGAGCAGTTCACGACAGACTACTTGCCCAGCGTTGCCATCACTCGGCTGATGACGCTAACCAATGCTCTACGCAGCTTTCCCGATGACGTGGTACGCGACAGCCGTGCCTATGAAGACACACTGGGCTCCCTCTGTATCATGACTGCACCCATGGCGCCAATGATTACCTCTGAGCTGTGGAGGGGTGTTGCCGGGGTACCATACCACTTGGCTGACTATGACTGGGTAAGACCGTGACAGTTTTCTGACTCTTTGGAAATTGATACAAGGATGTCCCATAGCCCAATATGGCAACACAACTTCCTTACAAATATGTTCTCAAACTTTTCTATTGCCCCAAATTACCAAAGAAACAAGATACTTGTACCTTTTGTGGAGGGGGCATTATTAATTGATTTTGGGGGATACTTTGGAGGATTTTTAAATTATAGGTTGTAGAGACTTTTTCAAACTAGGTGGATTGAGGCTTTTGGACAGGGTTCGTGGTTTGTTTTTGATATCCTGATGAACAAAGCCTCGTAACATCACCAAGGACTGGCATATTTTCCACAACGTGGTGTTACTGTCTCCAAGGTCCGTAGCTTTTTTTAATGCAACTCTTTAGCATAATACAGGAACACCGTTCTGATGTAAACCAGTCAATAAAGTAATTTCTCTGTCGGTTTGAGAGCAACAGGAGCACATAAACACATCCGCAGATCAAAAACAAGGTGGCAGATTTTCCAGAATGCCCTCGGGGAAAACTGGAGAGGTCTGTCATGCTTTGGTTTCCGTTTTTTGTCATTTCACAGGAGAAAGATGTGTTACAGCAGGCATGGCCAAAAGTCCAACCAGAAACTGAGAAAGCAGCATTTATGAATGTCATAGTCAAGGTATTTCAGCAAATAGTCTTCATAATATCTCCTGAATAGTGTTTCTTAAATCCTCAATATATCTCCTTAATTTTTTCTCTTTTTGCTCTCGTATGAATATAATTATGCCATGATCTTTACAGTAAAATGTTAAGCCCTACCAAAATCCACTTTAGAAAATCAGTGCATACCATCTACTTAAAGTCATGGATATTTTGTACCAAATTTTCAATATATTTTCGTAATCTCTGGCAATGTGCAGAGACCAAAGAGTTTGTCATGAAGTATCCGTATGGACACTTCATAGTTACAATATTTTAAAACTGGTCTCTTTTGTCATATTGGTTGTCTATTGCAGGTTCACAACCAGACAATAGGAACAGTCCGTGTGCAGACTGAACTACTGCAAAATGAACATGAACTAAAGAGGCTGATACAAGACAGTGACCTGGTTCGGGAGGTCATAGGTCAACAAGACATCAGCAGAATCGTGGTGGCTGCAAAGGTTCCACTGGTGAACTTTTTATTAGATGGTCCAAGATGATAAAAAAGAACCTAGGAACCGAATCCCTTTTTTAACGGAATTCCTTTCTTTTTCTATACATTAAACTTGCCTCGAGTAAGGAGGCTTTGACTGAAATTGGAGGTCCTGGGTTCAACACCTGTGCTCAGATGTCCGCATATTTGGTTCTGACAGTATCATCTAAGCAGAGCTACTAAATGGAATAGGCGGTACATGGTGCACCATAATCTGGCAGTAGTAGGAAGATTATGTTGAAGGGAATCAATGAACGTCACGTTGACAACAGAACCTTGGCCTACAAATGACAGTGAAGCAACACAATATCCTGTCAGTGCAAAGCTATGTTAACCTTTTACCCGGGGGTTACCATTGAAATAGACACTGGTAGATCAAGGCAAAGTTTATAGCTCGTCACTGACTGGAGAAAAACTCTGCAGTCAGTTCAGATGCAAACAATGTCANGCATCGGTACATAAAGTCTTGATGGTGAATGTGGGCCCAGGAGAGTTTATAATCGGAAACCAAACCAGAAGATATTTGTCAACAATCGGCGTTAAGATGCGAATGGTACACTCTAAGAATCTAAGAAGATAGAAGTCTGAACTTTTGAAAGTTGTCGAGTATCTACATCTTCCGTGGCTGGTGGGCTGATTTGACATCGGCGAAGTCTCGTTGTAAAGGGGATGAAATGTCTTCCAAGCAAATGCCAACGCTGTAACTACTGCAACATATCCATGATGAGCAACCAATAAAAACACACACTTGGTAGACTGAAGGTGAACTTCCATGATTTGTCCCTCGATCAGTTCAAAGACTCCTCCATGACCTTGGACCTCTGAATATGTTCCTCTGCCCACTTTGGTAAAGGAGTGCTGAACTCAAAACCGGGACCCTGAGAAGTAAGATTTGTAAGCAAAAAATAAACTAGTGCACAAAAAAATTTGTGAAATTTGAGTTTGTCAAATTGAAAATGTCCAAACTGAACATACTTTTCTACCTAGAATATTGTGAAATTTGGAGACCGATAAATCATTCAAAGATCTGTTTTACATCTCACACGGTTACCAGTTACACATCCAACCATTCTCTCAACATCTGATTCATATGATTTCACTGAGCATTTAAACAGTGCCAATAGACATATTCCAACCTTGTAGCTGAGTGCATGTAGGTACATGGTCATCTCATCGGGTGTAGGATCTCTCAGTCTCATCCTGCATTCCCTACACAGGCTCTGAACAAGTCTATGACGTTGCTCCTCCGTTAAATCCTCCTCCAACTCCTTAAGGCCTTCTTCCTCTTCCTTTCCCCTTCCTGATGACTCAGGGAGATCTTCACAAGTCCCGTGCGACGACCCTGCTTGATCACTTGATCCAGTTCCGCAGGGATGAGCAACCTCTGAATCGGCTGTGCACTGGTTACCAAGGTCGCATGATTCGATTATGGTTTGTTGGTTTGTGCTTTCATTCCTCCTATGATGCTCATCAGACCTGGCTGTGCCCTGCTCGTCAAGGGAATGCCCAGTGGAATCATTTGCTCTAGTCGCCTCGACTCCGTTACTACATGCTGCCGAAGTCACATTTGGTGCCTCTCCCTGGCCTGAGCCACCGTATTCAACCTCAGCATCTGCATCCTGGACAAGCTGATCTCTCGTGGTCTTGATGAACATTTCTGGGTCCTCAATAACTTGAGATTTTAGCTCTGCAGTGTGCTGTTTGATTAGTTCAGTCAGTAGCTGTGTATGACAAGGAAAATCAATGGAGACATTCCAACCACCTCACTCTGTGACCAGAATTTTCAAGACGGTCTATAGTACAATTGACCCTCCGCGATTCTTCAAAATTCAGCAGGAGGTTTGTAGGATTTTTAAGGATGAAGGATATAGATCCGAATAATCAACCACCAGTGCATTACCCAAGCAAATCGTTCAGTTTTGCGACTAGTAATGCACACATAGTCAGTTACTTCTAACTGTCATGCCTAATTGCTGAGGGTTAACCCTAACCCCCTAGGGACCATTGAAATCCTGCATAACCTTGTTGGGTTCAGCATGGCTAACCCCTAGGGACCATTGAAATCCTGCATAACCTTGTTGGGTTCAGCATGGCTAGCCCCCTAGGGACCATTGAAATCCTGCATAANACATCGGTACATAAAGTCCTGACGGTGAATGTGGGCCCAGGAGAGTTTATAATCAGAAACCAAACCAGAAGATATTTGTCAACAATCGGCATTAAGATGCGAATGGTACACTCTAAGAATCTAAGAAGATGGAAGTCTGAACTTTTGAAAGTTGTCGAGTATCTACATCTTCCGTGGCTGGTGGGCTGATTTGACATCGGCGAAGTCTCGTTGTAAAGGGGATGAAATGTCTTCCAACGCTGTAACTACTGCATCATATCCATGATGAGCAACCAATAAAAACACACACTTGGTAGACTGAAGGTGAACTTCCATGATTTGTCCCTCGATCAGTTCAAAGACTCCTCCATGACCTTCGACCTCTGAATATGTTCCTCTGCCCACTTTGGTAAAGGAGTGCTGAACTCAAAACCGGGACCCTGAGAAGTAAGATTTGTAAGCAAAAAATAAACTAGTGCAGCTAACAAGATCTGCAAAAAAAAATTCAATTTGTGAAATTTTAGTTCGTCAGATTGAAAATGTCCAAACTGAGAAGAGCAAACAGTTCTGTGATACTGTTCTACCTAGAATATTGTGAAATTTGGAGACCGATAAATCATTCAAAGATCTATTTTACATCTCACACAGTTACCAGTTACACATCCAACCATTCTCTCAACATCTGATTAATATGATTTCACTGAGCATTTAAACAGTGCCAATAGACATATTCCAACCTTGTAGCTGAGTGCATGTAGGTACATGGTCATCTCATCGGGTGTAGGATCTCTCAGTCTCATCCTGCATTCCCTACACAGGCTCTGAACAAGTCTATGACGTTGCTCCTCTGTTAAATCCTCCTCTAACTCCTTAAGGCCTTCTTCCTCTTCCTTTCCCCTTCCTGATGACTCAGGGAGATCTTCACAAGTCCCGTGCGACGACCCTGCTTGATCACTTGATCCAGTTCCGCAGGGATGAGCAACCTCTGAATCGGCTGTGCACTGGTTACCAAGGTCGCATGATTCGATTATGGTTTGTTGGTTTGTGCTTTCATTCCTTCTATGATGCTCATCAGACCTGGCTGTGCCCTGCTCGTCAAGGGAATGCCCAGTGGAATCATTTGCTCTAGTCGCCTCGACTCCGTTACTACATGCTGCCGAAGTCACATTTGGTGCCTCTCCCTGGCCTGAGCCACCGTATTCAACCTCAGCATCTGCATCGTGGACAAGCTGATCTCTCGTGGTCTTGATGAACATTTCTGGGTCCTCAATAACTTGAGATTTTAGCTCTGCAGTGTGCTGTTTGATTAGTTCAGTCAGTAGCTGTATATGACAAGAAAAATCAATGGAGACGTTCCAACCACCCCACTCTGTGACCAGAATTTTCAAGACGGTCTATAGTACAATTGACCCTCCGAGATTCTTCAGAATTCAGCAGGAGGTTTGTGGGATTTTTAAGGATGAAGGATATAGATCCCAATAATCAACCACCATTGCATTACCCAAGCAAATCGTTCAGTTTTGCGACTAGTAATGCACACATAGTCAGTTACTTCTAACTGTCATGCCTAATTGCCTAAACATTGCTGAGGGTTAACCCCAACCCCCTAGGGACCATTGAAATCCTGCATAACCTTGTTGGGTTCAGCATGGTTAGGGCTAACAAAGAATACCCGTACTGTTCATTTCAGCAAACTCAGTGGGCACGCCAATATCTGTGCTTTTTTTGCTGCATTATTCAAAAATCTCAATCGGAACTTGACAATGTCCATTTTAGGATGCAGTGTTGCCTTTAAGTACCTTGCTCAATGCCAAGTTTGAAAATATGTCCCATTCAGGGACAAACCAACTGTATATGCCATGGTAACAGAATATACCCCAATGAGGGGAGTTTAATCTCACATCTTCGTCTGTGTGTGGAATGTCTCCTCCTTTGCCGAGTTGAGAGCCCCAAACGGGGTTGTTATACAAGGGGTCATTCACAATGGGGTATCCCAAGTATTGTAGATGGACACGGATCTGGTGCATACGTCCGGTGTGAGGCGTACCTATCACAGTCATTCATCAAAAAGAGTAAAAAATGAAACTTTTCCAAAGTTTAATCTACCATTATGTTCAGCTTTTTACTGTGTGTTACAGTGTCAAAATGTAAGGACAAATCTTGCCAATTGAATGTTCACAAACTTTAAGCCATTTAAATAGCATTGTAAGAGGCTGATAAGTGGTGGTTTATGGCAGAGTCTCCAAGAGGATGTGGCTGTCGGTTCAGATGCGGGCTGATCTTTGTCCAAGCCTGTCTCAGCTCCAATTTGCTTGACCCAACCAAATTCATTTTGCTTAAGCAAAGGAACACATAATTGGAGTAAAATATTCAGAGCATTGGCCAAAGATCCAACAACTTACATTGCACGATGCTGGTAAATCCGTCGTAGCTCAGACGCTGAAAGGTCGTCTTACTCTCTTTACCTTCGGGACTCACCCTGCAAACACCAATCTTATGTGATACGGTGACGATTGGCTCGGAACAATCGAGGGGCTCGCTGCAAGACCAAGCGAGGAAAAAAAAAAAAGAGAATGGATCCAGTCCAAGATGTGAAATTAGACCACACCTGAAATTGTGCTCATTCAGTCAAAATCCCATTTTGCTTCTGCTCAGTGCCCGGTAATAAACGGATTATACTTCACAAGTAGGTTTACAAACCTGGGAAATTCTCCACTGACTTTGCAGACATACACTTTAGTCAGCTTCCTATCCCGTACATAGGCATCGACTCTCTGAGAAACTTCACGTGTTCTGGAGAGTCAAAAAACGATTCACATTAGACCGCTCTATTACAGTCTTCTTTCTGAAGATTTTCGTTCAATATCCAGATTTTGTTTCAATATTTGGTGAATTTCAGAGGGGAATTTGTGTATAAGGAACGAACAAACACCTTTTACTAAAAATATTTTGTGGGTGTTTAATTTTACGGGGAATTTAGATTTAAACCATCTGCCGATGTCAAATCAATGTTATCAGGCTTCATTACTCTAACACATTTGTTTCTACACTGGACAGCAAAAGAAACTTGCCACTTCTGTCAAAGGCCACGCATAAAAATTCGAACCCACGACCTGTCCTGGGTTCGAGTCCCACCCAAGTAAGCTTGTGAGGTTTTTTCGCAAGCTCTCGGACAGGCACTGGGCATACAGTGCTTATTAATATACGTTGGGTAAGGGCAAAATGGTTATATATAATTAACATCTCCCCAACGCAAAAATACATCTTGAAAACATTGAACTAGATGATAAGACTGCACAAAATCTCTCTAAATGTGTTTCAATTCATTTATCAATTCAACAGAAAAATTCTAAGAGAGACCCCTGGTTTAGTTTTTTTTCTAAACCTGGTAGCATGTTGTATACCTTGCAAACATGAGCAATCCTGACGTCAACCGATCCAGGCGGTGTATTGCTGAAAGACACACAGGGAAGACACAATCAATGTAAGAACAAGTACCAAAGAGAGAAGATACTGAGAGGGGGTTTGTGATTTCTACTGCAGGCACTGTCGTACTCACTGTGCAATCCCGTTAGTCGGTGCTCTTTGCCCAACATGAAGATGATGGTGTTGTGGCGGTATTTACCACAAGGATGGACCTAAGTACATAGCAAGAAAAACATTTGATGCGGAATCAGCCAAACACCCAAGAATACCGCTCACAGAAAGATTCTGCTCATTCCAATCTAAGGACTCCTACATGAACATTTTGTGAAGAGTTCCATACACGGACATCACTAATTTTTCTGTAGGGGTATATTAACTATCACAAAGCGATACCATTTCCAAAAGAGTCAAATTCAGCAGGGAAAATATCAAAGCCTTTTCTTAGAAAAATAGGAATAGAAAACTTTTTCAGACCAGTCTCAGAGGGTTTGTGCACAAGGTGTCAAGTAATGTCCACGTATGGAGCTCCTTGCGAAGTTTCATCTGAAAGAATGTCTGAAAGTCACAGTTAGTCCTGACGGATTCTTCAAGCACAGGATACCAACTGGTACAGAAGCTGGTTTGTTGATGACAACAAACTCATCGTTCACAGCGATGATGTCCAGAGGTTCACCGGTAACCGGTGGCTCGTGACGGTGCACCATGGAGCGAAGGAACTCATTGTTATGGAGAATCTTGTCGGTAGATACTTTCTGTCCATTGATGGTGATCAGACCACGGCTGATAGCCTTTTTCTGGTTGGGAAAAATTAAACCCATTTTAAAAATTTGAAAACCAGTTTCATCTTTCATTGTGTTGATGAAAAGAGTGGAGGAAAGGAAATGGAAAAGCTAACAGAGGGGGAACGTGCTTGAATCACTTACGTAGTACTCGGGTGTTTCCATTCTGAACTCTCTTTTAAAGACATCGAGCAAGGAGCATCCCATCCAACGTCCTTTAATGTGAGTCTCAAATACGTACACGTAAGGCGTCACCTTCCTCAAGCCTACCAGAAAGAGATCAGTCTTGTCATTGACCAATCAGAGGCAGCGTTAATAAGAATTGAACCAATCACAGAAGTCAAAGCCTTTTATAAGACCAAGCCATTCTTTCTCATTACACAGGCCAAGTTTTACCATTTTCATAGTAGTATGTAGTTTCATCAAACTTCTGGTCATTTGAAAACTTCTGGATTTTCTTTGGATGTCTGTCGAGCTTTTTTCCCTGTGAATAATGGAAAACAAAATGTTACACCATTTATTGTAATGAATTCTAATCACGGTTTGATAATAAAGAAAAACACAAAACCTTGTTGGGGTTATTTTTCTCTTCCAAACTTCCATTTCCGTCATTATTTCTTAAATGATGTAGGCCTTACTTGTTGAACTTCAGCTTGTTAGTGTTGCTATGCCCAAACTTTAGCATCAGTCCCAACTGTAGCAGAGAAGACAGGAGGTCAGTGTTTGCATGTGCCAAAGTCATTTTGTTTACATCAACTTGTGCGGAAAAGATATTGCATCCTGACTCCACCTCAGCAGTTGTGTACAAAGTCTATGGGGAGTGAAGAGAATTTTCTAAGTATTTCCTAACAACATCGGTATATGTTTCTCAGTCCAGAATTCGTGTCTCTCCAGCATTTCTGTAATGACTGACTTTTATATTGAGATGATATATGATGAGAAAAGTGGAGTCAGGATGCAACATTATTTCCACTTGTGCTTTTAGAAAAAAGTTTTTATACAGATTAAGTGCCATATTTTAGAGGAATAATGTCAAGGGTGAACTACATAAATGTGGAGGAGGTTGAGAAATTTTCTTCAGAGATTGGCCAGCAATAGTTGGGCCAGCTCAACTGCAGCACTATAGTTGGCATGGTTGGGACTGTCCTAACTACGGTTGGGACAGATGCTATAGCCATGATAGCTGGGGCGTAACAGTGTTAAAGAGAAATAGAAAGCTGAAGAAAAGTTAACATCTCCAAATGCTTATGAAAATAGCATTAAATTGAAAAAGAAACACCAGAGTATGTCAGCCTATGCCTACCTCCATTGCGTATGCCACTTAAGTCACTCACGGTAACTTACTGTACCCCCAGTACTGTGGGGTCTGACATCCGCTCCTCATTCGGGGGAGAGGAGCGGACGTCGGACCCCACAGTTCTGGGGGTAAACTTACTGTAGTCTCCCTAGGCCTACTTCCTAACCCTAGGCTTTTTTACCTTTTTGGTTTTACCAGAAAATTCTTTTCTCTTCAATCGCAGTCCGTCTGTTTTGGCCTCCTGAACAGTTTGAGCAAGGACAGACTCTGTTTTGCAGTCGGCACCTGGGCCATGAGACTCGTCAACAGGGCTGAGGGGTGACTTGGCTTCTGTCGTGTCTGACATTCTCCGAACTCCAACTTCAGCAGGCTCAGCCATGTCAGCGGCAGCAAATCCCTCGCTCAAAACTCGTGTCCAACTTAGAGGATTAAAAAATGTATTACAGGACCTTAAACTCTCACGTGTGAAAATTCTGGCTGTTAATCGCATATGTGTAAATTGATTTCGTATCATTTTATGATCATAATGCTCAGGGGGGCTGTTAAAATCACTTCTTCGCAACTAATTTACTGCTTCATAGACGCCGCCATTTTGAAAAATGACTCAACTTTGGCCCGTGGTGGCGCTATTATTTTTGACAGCAGCTGCAGCAGCTGAAGTCGGGTCAGCCTTGGCCGGCTGCTCAGTAAAATCGTGGAACCCGTCCCTGAGCTAACTTTATCTGACAACCTAAACCATGTTCCTCATCTTACAGCCAGCCCTAATTCGAACCCTAAAGCCATAGGTTTATGACTCGGGCTGCTGCCATAAAAGGCAATGACGATATACTGATGGAGAAGAGTGTCAAGCGCGACTGTCACGTGGCCTACACACAAGTCACAGAGTCTCCTGTCTACTCTACTCTCGCGGCTTTCTGAAATATTTGATGTCATTCTGCATCGAAAACATACGGGATGTTTAGATTTCTCATACATTTTGTACTTATTCCGATTCTAACATCAAGAGGAAACTCAGCTGGAAACTCCAAGCTGGACTTCCGGAGCCGAGCGCACCTTTTCCTTGTCTCAATCCCTGGGTATCCGCCATCATTCTCAGAAGGGAGCCGATGACTGCAAAAAAGCTCCACCGTTTTTGCTTTGCACAGTACTCTTTGGTTAGAAGCAGCTTCGGTTAATTAGGTGATTGGCTTAATTCACAACCTTCCTACGTTACGCAGCCTCTGAAATGGGGACTGGCTTTTTATTCGTCTCTTGAACCCCTTTGCTCCTCCTGTAACCCAGCAAAAAGGGGACACTGATAGCAAAATGTCAACCTAAGGAGCTCGATTTTAATCAGACTTGAAGGAGATGTAACCTGAGAGGCTCAAGCATGGCAGAGCGCCGTATAGAAAAACCTGCCGTGTAATGAGAGAGTCCCATGTGCATGAATGCTCTAGAGTTCAACATCGTGAGGGAAAGCTTCCTTAGACACACGGGGCCTGCTATTCTGCTAAGTAAAACTGTCAGATACTCTGACCCGAATTAACTTTGAACAAATATTTTCAAAAATCGTGTAACATCCTTGGGCCAGAAAAGGGCCTTGTCCTCAATATTACTATGAATCGAGTCCCTTGGCGTCAGCTTTTACTGCTTACATTACTTGGCCTGAATACGTCTCTCATGTTGAGCAAAACTGAACACGCCCACACCAGTCGATATCTTGGTCACTGCTTCAAGTTCATATTCGTTAGACGAGTGAATGAATTATTAAACAAATATCCAGGACAACGTTTTTCACACGTCCTTAAAAAAGTACAGAGCTAATAACCTTGTCTTTTGCTATGCGCTACATGAAGCAAGACAGTTTGTGGTTTCTCAGATTTATTGAACAGTCTATTTAATTAATAAACTGGCGAATATCGACTTCTGAAATATAAAACCCTACTTGTGCATTGGGCAATGTACTCTGATTGCTATTTTTTGCCGGAAACAAGCAAACTTGCGCCTATTTGAAACTAACTGCATGTGCAGATCTTCGATGTCTTGAAGTTATGACTTGTCAGATCGCAAGGGCTCTCTTCAGCTGAGCAAACGGAGCGGGTGTCTAACTCCGACATTGCCAGAAGAAATGTCAGCTTGGGCCGCTGGTTCTTCTCAAAGGTCTCCGACACACTGATGTGTGTTTGTACAGTGTAATCCAATACCGGTAATCAATATTGCGACAACCTCAATCGCAATCTTCCTCTTTTCGCTCTATACATTTTGCCATTTTGGTACTTTTTAATGACTTGAACCCGGTAAGAGCTTATACCCGCAATCTTCAAAGTGGAGCCAAATTCAGTAAACGGAAGACAAGAGGGGAAGTTAGATCGGAATGATCATGGTGCTGTGCAGGAAATCACCGATGCCATAGGGTCAATGTAGGTCACTTCAATTAAGGCTGAACTCCAGCAACGTGACGAGGAAATACACTCAAGACGATGGCAAAGTTTTCAAATTAAAGAGTAAATAAAGTGAATTTAAATCCATTTTTTGTCGGCCCAAGAAATCAGCCCCATGTATCCTTGTGTTGCGATTTTAAAGGTTTTTTTTTAAGTTTAATGGCAAAATCGTTATTTTCCTCTTCTGCACTCTCAGGAATAGAGATGACGTCATAAAGGGGATAGTTTTGTTTTTGTGATAAGACAAGGTTATAGGTCGAATGACACTTGATATGAACAAACTGCTACAAATTGTACGTTCAAACAAAAAAGGAAGTCCGTAAAACAGCACCTACGAAAACAACACACCAACAATCCTACGAAGACAACTTAGATCTTGTGATAGATGGATATTTCATGGGGGTCGGTAAACCATATTTACATAATCAAACGATGGACTTTTCAACTTCTTTAAAATAGTACAGAAGCAGCATATTGCTGAGGACTGATCAGACCGAAAATTTTATGTCATTTAAATAAGGAAAACATTATCCTTTTCAATAATGATGTAGGTTTGTAACCACTAAGCAGTAAAAGTGGTCATTCTCAGTTATCACGAAGGAATAAAACAATATAAAACCGCCAAAAAAGGAACAGGGGCAGAATTTTGTCTTTGTAAAAACATCCGTTCTTTTATTGTTGTCTATACCGCATAACATTTCAGAACCAAGACAAAAGTACTTTTAGTTACATATTTACTCAGTTTCCACAGTTTTGAAACAAAGGTTAATTATTAGGCCCCCTATATGTGCATAGTTAATTTGACGCAACAGGTGTCGTAATAGGTCGGACAAACATGCCCGTCTAAGAGAATTATAGAGCGTTTCATTAGAATGTCAGCGAAACATTGTGATTTATTCCTGATTAAAGGTATGATCTTCAGAACATCGAAAAGGTTATACTTTTGACACTCCAAAAGATAACTCTAAACACGTTAAGGGTTTTTCTACTTCAAATCAGGGAGTTATCAATACCGACCTCATACAGGAAATAACGATATTAAACCATTGCATGTCACTTTGTTAAGGCAAAGATGGTGGTTATTGCAGAAACAAACTTAATTTCATTTCGAGATAGCACCTTTAAGAGCCTTAACAAGTTGTGAAAGGTCATGTTTAAATTGTGTTAAATTCTTCAAAATGGTTTACAAACTTTCCAATGCACGAATCTGTACATTGTGACATAATGTTTATCAGTTTAATAACACCGACTTAATACGGGCGATTCACAATAGTGCGCCTCCAAGAGTTTACGGCCAATCACAAAGCGCGAAATCTGTCGACCCTTTCTAAACGTGCATTGGGTCGACAGATTTCGCGCAGTGTGATTGGCCAACGCGTTGCAAACTCTTGGAGGTGCACCATTGTAAAACGCCTGTATTCTGATGATTGAATTTCCAATTTTCTTCAGGAAACTTTCTCGCATACCTGTTCTGCACTTGAGAGAAAAGCAAGATAAATTCTGACACGAAAACTGCTTTTTTAATTAATGGATAGCAATTTTCATCAAGGAATTCTTTTTGCCGGAACAATTAACTACATTTTTTAACTTTGGCTTGCCTAGAAATTAGTTGAGGTCATTTTATCAGATGTTACGTATTTGCTTTGGTATGTTGATACATGGCTTTGGTTATCAATCTAAGAGCTTACGAAGGACGCATTTTGAGCAATAAAATCAACCGTTGGAGCATCAATTTCTATTAAGTCCCAACCCAATCTTTTACCTTTTTCTTCAACCTCGTTGTCTGCAGTTCGATTTCTTTTAATTGATATTACTACAATTATAAGACTTTTCACAAGCATTGTAGTTGATTGGAGTTCTATTTACGCAGTGTTCACTTGTACTCTAGGCTAAATTTAAACGACCTATGTATAGGCTTTTCCCCTTTTGCGAAAAATGACTGGCATATTTACAGGGCTTGTTTCATCTAACTTCCTTTGAATGTTACATTAATTCCTAAATCAACATAATACTCAAACTCGATTGGTCCATAGTTGGTTTAGGGTATAAACGTAAAATTAGAAATCACCATTATCAGCGTCACAACACAACAACAATCACAGCAGGAAGCAAATTTGCAGTCATTAAGAAAATCGACAAACTTACTTTACGACCAATATTTACATTTTGGCATACTCATGAGTGGCCCTTTGGGTGTCGAAGCTTGAATAGTGACCAATCATATTGCAGACAGTAATTGTTTCACACATGGGAGCAAGGCTTCTGTTAAGGCACTTTGTACAATCGATAAGGCCTTGAAGAGTTTTCGCGTTCCATGGATGGTCATGAGTTCGACATCAAGACAACCTCTCTCTTTGGTTCACGTGTTTTGGCACGGAGGGAGGACAGCTCCAAGGTAACAAGGTTGAACATCTCCCTGTCTGTTCTTTTCCATACTGCCACCGCAGGTTGGTGTCTTGGAGTACAAGTCAGTTCATTTGGAGTAGTCGTCACGCGTTGACAGTGCGTAGCGAAGAAGATTCGATGGCTCAGGGATTTTGGAGAATTTGAGCGTGACAATACAAATAAAGATTGTCCTGAAGTAAGGATGTTTGGCAGCGTAGATCAACGGATTGACGCAACTGTTCAGGAGGAGTATCACACCGGCGTACGGCGTGAAGTGGTCAGCGCTAGGGATCATGATACCGATGCTGTAGGGAGAGAGGCAAAGCACGAAGGCACAGACCACGTAGAACAGGTTCTTGGTGATCTCAACCTGCCGTCTGCTGAGGCGTTTCCTGGTGGAACTTTGGCGTGAGACGGACGATGTGTGATGCTGGGTCCCGTTGTTGTTCGCTGCGGGACTCTTTGGATTCGAGGACGACGAGTGCTCGCTCGGTGCCAAGATGGTTTTGGTGTGGTGCTTGATGTACAGGAAGATCTTAGCGTAGCACACCACGATAGCAATCATGGGAATTGGGTACAAGACTGCAGCTACGATCATGTCATAGGGGTTAGATAGCGTACCACCTGGCGATTGGACTGGGCCACATCTTAGGTATTTCTCGTCGTAGCCGAGTTTGCCAACACCGAGGAGTGGGGGGATGATGACCGTCACAAAGGGTAACAACCAGGCTACGAGGGTGGTGAACATCAGCATCTTGAAGGTGTAGAGGGTTCGGTACCTGGTACTGGGCTGGGTGATGAGGAACAGCCTGTTCAAAGCTATGAATGCTAGGGTTATGATGCTGGAGCCGACGAAGATGATGGTCAGGCCGCCTGCAGCCGAGCAGATCCACTTGGCGATAGGCCAGCCGTTCATGCTAACAGCACCCAGGACATGCCACGGTAGACACAGGCAGGTCAAGAGGTCCGTGGTGCTGAGACTCACCACGTACACGTTGGTAGCAGTACGGAGTTTGCGACTCAACGCGACGGCGAGGATGACCAGGCCATTACCGAAGGTACCAAGCACGGTGATGATGCTCATGGCGACCGCTAGAGCGATGCGCTCCCCGTAGGCGAATCGGCCTGCGTACTCCGATTCGACCAGATCAATTTCTTCAGATTCGTTCAAGGGCAATAGACTAGGAGAAGTAAGATTGCCCCCAACTGATGCCAGTTGACTTGCGTTAGAAACAAGCTCCATCTTTCAGTACAGTGAATTCGCACTTGTAAAGTCTGTAAAACAAGGCAGAAATGACCTGAGTATTTGCAGGTAATAGTCTTGCAAACAGAACAACGGTGTTCGTGTGAGCTCGTGTGCAGCGGGAGCACGCTTTTAAACCTTTTTCTATTCTTGCACGACGTGATGAAACTGCACCTGTCCTATCATCAGCACCCTGTTCAAATCTTATTGGCTAACTGAGATCGATGAGTGATCGTGACCTTGCGGTCAAAGCGCCGGTTAGGTGATATCAACAGGAAATGTACTCTCGCTGAGCTCCAGAGTGGCTTTCCTGAAAAAGGAATAGACAAAAGAGAAATTGAAAAACATATCAAGTTGTGCTGCAGCGGTATTTTTCCTGTCACTCAGTTTTTTCAGTCTAGTCCCTGGGGATTAGTTGCTGGAACTATGCATTGAAACATTTTGAGGTGAATTGGATTTTAATTAGCCTCACAGATGCGAGGTGTTAACGCGGTCATTGCTGCTATTGGCCCGAATGCTAATGATAGATTTATGAGCGTGCGAGAAAGTGAGGGCTCTGGCATTCACACGAAGGGCCAAAGTTAATTAATAACAACAGTAAGGATTTTCATTTAGCGAGTTGATTTGACAAAGTAAGTAGTGGAAATTGAGAAGATTTACAACGTCAGGGTGTTTACAAACGGGACAAATGGACGGCATTGTTTTGATCAAAACAAAGTTTGGTTTGGTGTCGCAACAAGAAATTTAGGGTTGCGCTCCATAGTTGAAGTACATGTGATGTCATATCTATTTTAACCTCTGTCGACAGCCAAACGCTTTAGACAATGACCAATCATTGCGAAACATGTTCGGACAGGTTTGGACGCCACTGACCAATGAAAATCCCCTAGCCGTGAAATAGTTGAGGGTGTATTACTATAATTGGTTTATTTATGCACAGTGCACAAAAGATTTGCCGGTCACTAATTGGATGACTTGCAGGTTACCTGTACTCAATATCGTTCGACTGACTTTCGCTCAATGATGTAATGAACATTACCTGCTTAGGAGGCTGTGTGAATTAAGTCAAACTAATGGTGGTATCATTTAAGAACATCTTAAGTGTTTCTGTTCCTCTGCCGAACTGGTCCAAGTACTTGAACCGCTTGCTTTTCAGCTCCTTGAACTAACGATGGACCCTTCAGTTTGGTTTGCTCAAACAGGGTACTTTGTCAGCTACCTATACAGGCTTTGCATGGCCGCCATCTTGTAGGCCAAGGCTTTTGTTCCACAGGGTATGCACAAAGGAGGTTTCCCTGTGGAACAAAAAACTGCCCTTCAACATGGCTACAATGCAAGGCTTCTATCTTCCAAGCAAGTCACCATCCAACCTTTATCAAAGACAGCCTTCGGACCAGGTATTTATAAACACACCAGCTTTCTTGATAGTTGGAGGAGTGAACGACCGCGCACTTCACCAACGATATCGTCACCAAGTTTCAATCCGTTTCCACCCATTTCAATTTGTTAACAATGTAAACTTGAATACCAGCTGTCAGCTGGATGTAAGGACCAGGATGTTTCCGGAAAGCTCGCACTGTATTACTTTGTAAAACGGCAAGAACTCGCAGCAAAACAAGCAAAGGTGTAACTTCTTGGATTATTGCGGTAGCAGGCTCTTCGAAGAAAAATGACTCGACGAAAGGACGCCACCAAAATGTTTCTACAATCTGAGTGTAAGTTCGATGAACTTGACGTGCACAGCACAAGATGAATGACACAATGAGTGTAATGTATCTTGGCCCAGGAGATAATTGTAGAATTTGTCGTCACTCTGCATTTTTTTTCTTGGAAGACCTCCAGCTGCATCCCACAAGAGCAGATGTCCCCAAATGGAAGTACATGTGCATGAGTCTCTAAATTGCATCGTCGGGACCGGTTAGAGCGGATAAGGTAAAGGAAGCCTGCCCGGAAAATATCGATGATGTGGCAAAGAGTAATTGACAAGAACTGACGATTTCAGCTCAGTTGTCGCGTATCAATGTTGCCAAAAAAAGAAAAAAACAAAACACTAGACTACACTCTTGCCCAAATTTGGCCCAAACATGAATTTTCAACCCAGTAAACCATTTATTTATAGAGGGACCCAAAGTCGATCATTTCCTCTTGGTTTGACGAACCTCAATCCTGTACCCCCTTATGTCTTTTCCCATGAAATCGGGGTCAAGAAACCTCGCCATCTATTGGAAGAAACATGGCTAAGTGGATCAGGGAGCCGAGGATGCGTCACCTTGGCAACGCATCACTGAAATACGTCAAGAGGACGGGGCGGCGTGCCTCATGAGGAACGATGGACAGAACAGCTGATACGAAAAGTGGATGCGACGCTGATATAGGTCAATCTTCCTGCACTATCTCGGTACGTTATTGGAAACGCGCCAAGGGAGGACAAGTAAGACAGATGCATACCTCGATTTTCAGATCAAGATGCTTCCGTGTATCCTTCTACAAAAAAGGCGGGAACTCAGATGAATCAGCTGACGCAGAAAAAGGGTTTATGCCCGGACATCATGATCCAGGTTAAAGGGTGCACCACTCGGACAATCAAGATATTGAGCGAAATTGGGAATGTTTTTCACCCTTGTAACCATCGAATTAGAAGGCATAGTTGACGGTGGACAGCTGTGTCCCGAAAAAATTTTATTTTGTGCAGGAAAGGCAGGTTATTTGGTGCACGTAATGATCAATGTACATGTACATAAAATCCTTGTCTGTTAACAGGAGTTATTGACCCAGGGTCGCCAATTTAAAAAAGTTAAGCCAATGAGACTTCGAAGAATTTAGCCGTCGTTCTTGCGTTTAGCAAGGCTTCATGAAAGGCACTAGGCCTATATGAATTTTGGAAATGGTCAAGGTTTTTCTGATAATTGTATTCCAGGTCACAGAAAAATTTGGGGGGCGCTTTTTCAAACACACTCAAAAGCATGGAATGGATTTTAAAGATAATTTAGGATGGCATTCCTGATATAATGAACTTCGTGGAATCCAGCATGGAGACAGCTGTAATTGATTTAAGCTTAAGTCAAGATATCGGCCAGGTTCATCCCAATGCTTATACAGAACAGATGGAGTTGGTGCTTGTGGGATAGTGGCAAGCATATACGCTGGTTAGTCGATCTGGAAGAGTTGAGAAATTAATCTCTGTTAAATCCATACTCTGCTGTGCCGAAATATCATGAACCAATAAGCAACGTCGTTTATGGAACTAGTTGTGACAGGTACTATCAGACTCCTAAAAATAACTCACCGTTTGTCCACATTGTAGCAAGATAGAAGGTTACATGGTTTATACAATACACTGCCTGCAATGTGCTCATCACTATGAAGTGGACTTGACTTTTTTCTTCCGACTCTCCGTAAATAAAATATTTTAGTAACCTGATTTGTTCCAGAAATTCTTGAAGATGTACGTTTGACGGAACTTTGAAACCAATACCCCCCTTAATAACAGATGTTGACATTCCAATTTCCCCACGATAGTTCTTATACCAAATTCGCGGAGCCAAAATGGAGTTCCTTCACGGAGAGAGAGCAGCTGCAGGCAAACTTGACTCACAACTGCTGGCAGCTCACGATTCTTTAAACACAGCCTCCGATTAGTCGAATTGAAAGGAATCGAAAAAAAAGAAAGACAGAATCAAGTCGCGGTCGGGAAAATACCGTGAATTCTGCTTTGCTAGGCTCTATCAGTATCGAATGTCGAGGACAGCTGGAGTCCCCAGATGTTGAGGATTGTCATACGGATGCTGAAAATGCGATAGGGAAGCTTTGAGGAGATAACAAGGAGGGAAATGATGACGGATGGATTTATTCTTGGAACATCGAACGGCATTCTTTGTACTCAGCCAAGAAAAATAAATCTTTCCTCCAGTTTTGTGGTGCTGAGGGTTCTTCGAAGACATCGACCGAACGCGGAATCGTTGTACTTTTTAAACAAATTATCAGCACAGTTGGAAAAGTGTTGCTATCTTTGAATAATTTTGGTGCCATTATTTTTTTTTAAACAAACTGACAATTGCTGACCGGTTACGAACTACGCAATCAGTTTGACTTAACTTGCGATTACATTACGTTCAACCATTTTTTGGCAAGAGGAATATCAGTAAGATTTTTTGTCACCTTGAGGCTCTTACCTTCTCTACAACCGGGTTTCCATTTAACCCCATGCACACCCGTGCCTAGTTCTGCGAAACAGACTCAGGCATTCACGAGAGGTGTGTTAAACAGGTTGAGAAACAAGGTGTTTTTTCTGCTATGGTTTATTTTTCATTAACTATTACACCTGCTAAAAATGCATTGACTGTTAGAGTAATTGATTAAAAGTGGTAGCGTTTGTATGTCACAATTCCGAGAATGCTTGGCCGTTTGAGCTGGATCAACGGTCAGTGAACCTACAGTATTGTCTCCGATGCTAATTAATTCATCCTAAATACCCAACTGCTTTAAAAACTAATTGAACAGTATAAATGAACTTTGCATAAGTTCATTGACTAGGTATAACCTCAGTACCACCAAATCGTTAACAACGCGATCTCAAGATCTGCCACAAGACGTTTAAACGATCCGTCGATAACTAAACAATTACATCTGGCGATTATTTAGCCCTGCTTGAGGCCAGTTAATTAGTTCATTCAACCGTATCCCGAGCTCCAAGATACCACATTCAAATCCAGCATATTGGCTCATAAGACAATTATTCAATTTCATTTGAGAGGTCCGTACGTATAAATTCTTGTCACAAGACAGGGTCAAGGATATAAACATTGACCAAACCAAAATAAACTGAATAAGAATGTTATATTGTGGTGACGACGGCAAGTAAAACACCCTTTACTAAGATGTAAACCAAGAACGGTGTATGTATTGCTTGACCTAAAAATAATGCCCGTCTCGTGAAAACCATCCATTCTCAGTTGTCTGTCTTGTCTGAGACTGCAAAAGCTTCGGTGACATCGTAAAATAAGGTAGATTATCTGGTTAAAGTACTCGAAATATGAGCTACCGTACGCGTGCCTCGTCATCTACCCAGCGTCACGGGTTTGGAAGACAACAGACTCCCACGAGCATCATGATCATGACTAACTACAAATTATTGATTCGAATGACATGTCCAACTTCCGTCCCGAAATCGGGGTGATCCGTAAATAATTTCCCAGTACGAGCCTTTCAATCTCCAGTACAGTGCGTGGAGAAGGAGATGTTTGCAAGGTTAAGGCAAAACGTCACTCTCGGAAAAGTTCACACCCTGGCGCCGGGAGTGAGAATTTCTTA